TAAAAATAAATCAACACAATTATCTAAAAAAAAAAGAACCCACTCGCACAAAGAAAACCGCAAAAACCCCCATCCAACAGAGTACTACCAGTACCAGAATTCTCGAATAGGGCAATAGCATTGAGAACAAAATCACCATAAATTCTCACAAAATCTAAGGTACACCAAAGTTGCTTTAAGGTGACTATTAAAAGATGAAAATAAAAAATTGATCTAAATACGATGCTAAATCACGTCTACAAAAGGAGTTGTGCATAAACTTAAAAATCCATCGGAAAGGACCTCCAAAATTGTAACAATGATTCATTTATTACTACAATCAATCTAGTTCATTCTCCTGATAAGTTCATTGATATAGTCTTCACGATTGCCAGCATCGCCTCCTTCAACATAGTGATTTCTCTTCTTCTTCAAGCCACCAAGAGGCGCCTTAAGTTTGAATGGCCAGAGAAAATTGTTTGCCTCCTTAAAGTGAGGTCCAACTGTCAGGATCTCATGGGCAAGGTCTTCAATGCAGATAATACCATGTTTTCCCAAAGCCTGTCACACAAAGCACAGGTTGGCAACGCCTCTGGAAATCAACACGGAGAACAGAACATGTGGCATAGTTCAGAAACAAAGTACCTGTTCAATGATTGAGTTGTCAGTCAATGCTATTCTCTGCTTGTTTACCTTGCCATAGCCTCTCTTGTAAATCAATTCCTTAACACTCTTCAAGTTGGGGTATCTGCCAATGAGTAAAAGCAAAGAATTTTCAGCTGTCAATACGCCCAGAACACCACCAACATATACATATGTGTAAGTGCACAGAATTGCAAGTGAGAACCCACCCATAAGCAACGTAAGGCTCAACTCGGTGTAGCATATTCAGCGTTGCCTTGTTAACCTTTAGGAATACACCATTAAATATCTGCAGAGGAAGAGCACAACAGTGAAGAAATCAAAATGGCAAAAAGGCAGACAATAAAATTATGTACATACCTAAAGAATAAACACCAGAAACCAAAACGAAAAACAAATCAAATAGGTCGAAATCTCACTAAGGCAAGGACTAGGAGAGTCCAAAGTCCAAACCAATCACCCCAGTATAGTGTTTTTCTAAGATAAATGCTCCAAACTTGTCATTCCTTGTTATTGCTATCAAATTAATCAGGATGATCATGCATTAATCATTGAATAAAAAGCCCCTAGGAAAATGTATGAAACAATAAATCTGGGAATAACTTATGGTTGCCAATGTCTCATTGAGTTAGAAATGAATAAATGACTGTTTTAATGCTACAAAATTCCTCCAGCTCCTTAAAAAGCCAAATGCACATTGCTTTAGTTCAACAATGACAAAGCTGTGATTAGGCTGATACAGGTGATGATTCATCACCAACCAAATAAATCAGCAAATCAACTGCAGATCAATGGTACAAATTTCGCATATCAGCAAACTGCCCGTGCATTGCCTAATGACACCAAAATCATGCAGCTGAGCAGTTGGAGAATGATCTAATGGAACTTACAATTTCACAGTTATTTTCAGAAACTTGGATGACAGGAGCATTCTGAACTTAACCCTCAACATGTATCAGGGACAAAAAGTCGTTTCTCAACTAGTTGCAATTAACTAGAAACTGAAATTATTTGTCAAGTCATTTCTCAACTTGGTAGAAATAACTAAAAACACAACCACCCTAGATCCTGCCAGAATTATTTTATACATAAAGCTTTCTAAACTATTAAACAAGAGCAATGAGCCAACACAGGTATATATCCGCAAATCACCTGTCTCAGGCGCAGAAGCTGCAAAATCTTCTTGGTCCTTGGATGCATAGCATTGATACTGCAATACACAAAGTTAGAATATTTTTTTTTAACTCATTCAGAACTAGCAAAGCAAACTTGGTTGATAAATCAAATATTAATACATACCCTCGAATGCGAACAATGAAAAGCAACTTCGCTTCCGGGTTGACATAAAAGCCTCCTTTCAACCTTGCTTCACGTTTCAACTTGATAAGCTCCCTTTGCTGAACAGAAATAACAAGTTTTGAGTACAATGTCAAAGGTCCCATGAAAGTAAGAAAAGGCTACCTGCTCGGCGTACTCCTTAGCATACTGCTTAGCTCGGTTGTAGATGAGCTTGCGGTTGGCAAGGTTCTTCTTCTTAGCAGCTTCAAATTCCTGCTTTTTGGCCAATGCCCATTCTTCGTTTCTCTTCTGTTTCTTCAATACTGACTCCGGGACTCCCTTTGCTTGTTCTTCAGCCATCTCTGTGTAAGAAGAGGGGAAAACGTGCTGCTAAACAATCATGTTGAAAAGCATAAAAAAATAATCAAAGTCAGAGAACATAATTGTCAAACCAAAACGCTGGTGCTACTCGATCCACATTCTCAAGGAAAGACGTGTGCAATTCGAGGGTAATACATGAATTTACATAATAATAGGTGGTGAAGAAGCAAGAAAGTGTTGTCACATGTAACTTCGAGTATAGCATATAGTTCACCACTAGGAAACTAGTGGGTGATAAAACTGCAGATGTTGCATTTGCCACAAGTACAATCACCAGACCCTGCACCCTCAGCATCCAACTACTATAACAGTCAATATTAATGAGTGAGAAAAATTCACACGGTTTCTTCGATTGCATGAACGGAAAGAAGACAAAATTAGATGCAACACTCGGCCATTGACAATAAATACATGCTTAGCAGCAAACTCAGAATATATCCTGCAAATGGTAATAATGAAAAGATGACACCACAAATTATTATTTTTTAAATGCATGCTTTCGGAAATCAATAACCACTAAGGCTACGAAGAAATAAAACCCAGAAAGTAACGATCATAAGCTGTGGTATCAGAAGGCATTTTTTCAAAAAAAAAAAAAAAAACTGGGGGCACCAGGTTGTTAAGTCCAACACAAACATCAGATGTGCGCAGTTTTTGGGAACAAAAACTATAAAAATAAAAAACCAAACAAATAAAAGAAGTAAAAAGAAATGCATATAGAGGAACAAAACAACACAACACAACGTAAATGTCGAATTCTTAAATCAGTAAAAATCAGCAGCCCCCCATCTCACACAGATACGATACCAAGATGTATCAAACTTTGATAACATTTTCTTCAAAAAAAAAAAGAAAGTTATTTTTATGAACGATTCATTTCTAAAACCTTCTCTGCCTTTAACGATGCATAGAAATAAAAAACTGACTTAGAAACTTACAGACAGAGAGAGAGAGAGAGAGCCCTGCTTGCTAACCGGAGGCTGCTGCTGCTGCTTCACTTCCTGGATGAATTGGGTACAGCCAGTAAGAAGTAGGGTTTATAGTACAGCAGTTTTGGGCTCGATCATTGGTCGTCGTCTAATCTATCCCCAGGTCACAACAACGCCTTCAAGGTAAGGATGCCTGTGTAACTCACAATGATTGGTAGTGGGCTTCGGCCTTTATTCCACAATTAAGTTGACCATGTTGGGCCTGCTCGCTAGAGTGCGAACTTCCTTGTTTACTATCCTAGTCCAACTGTTCACGTTATTTATTTTTTTTTCTTTTACGATTGTTCACTATCCACTCATTAAATATATTTGAGATGTTAAATTTTTAGAACAGTAAAATTAATTCAAAAAAAGTGGATAAATATAAATGAGGATAATAATTAGAATAAATCTTTCTTACACTGACGGTGTATACATTATCATCGTTGGATTCATGACATGTGTATAAAAGTTGAATTTCAAATTCAAATTTTGCATATTTATCATTCATCAAACGTTGATAGTGTATATACTGTCAGTGTAAGAAAGATTAATCCTAATAATAATTATTATGTATATTTACATTATAAGTTAAATATAATATAAGTGCATCAATGAGTGGTCATTAGACACTTGTAAAAAAAAAAACACTCGCAATTTAAAAACTTGACTGCTATTTTCAATCACACCATAAATAACTTTCACGCGGTTTAAATGATCTAATGATTCGATAAACAATTAAAAATTTTAATCATAATTTTCGATCCCTTTTATTATCAATATTTAAACTTTAAAGTCATACCAACGTCACATCAACTTATCTTACCCTTCTTATGTCAAATCAAATATCATCACACAAGTTTCACTCGAGGAGGATACCTTTTTTTTTTGGAAATAACTTTGCTGTATTCGGAAAAATTATTGTGATATTAAAAGTATATTTGCCAACACAATTGAGCATGAAGTTTTCGAGGGGAAGGGGAGTTGATATTTATTCTTCATTACCATATGTTAAAAAGAATCTTATCTCTAGGTAAGAAAGTGGTGGAGAAATGTTCAAGTTTAAAAAGGAAAATTTTTGCAAACATTGACCAAACAATTTTCATTCCCAATTTGTTTATCAAATTTCAAGATCGAATCTTATTTACTTTTCTCAAATTTTGTTTTATCAATATTCAAGTTCTATTCTAAATTGAATCGACCAGTTGTATGTGTTTTTGCAATGTCCTCGTGTGTAAGATTGTAATCGATCAAAAACTCGACTCGAACTTAGGTTGATCGAGTTCGAATCAAGTTCAAATAGCTCGATAGCCCTAATAAGTCGAGTTCAAGTATCCAATAGTAAAACTTGAATGCTCGTCGGGACTAATCGGGTTTTTTATTTTTAATTTTTTATATTATTATTATTATTATTATGAAATTACCCTTGTACCCATAAATATAGTTGAATTTATGAAATGTTTTAAGTTGTATGAAATTTTTTAAAAGACGATAATGTCTTTTCACTCAAAATTTGTCAAGAAAAATGGAATTTCAAATCTTTTTTATTCGAATTCAATAAGGCTTATTTTAACTTGACCCAATGTGAGTTGAGTTCAAGTTTTATAAGCAATACATCGAGTTCTTGAATTCCAATAATGCTACTAGCTCGAATTTAGATATCCTTCACGCCACACTCGAGCTCAACTCGATCATACCAACTCAATTCGATATGTATCCCAACTCGTGGGAACACCCCTATCCTCGTGGCCAAAGGCAAAGACAATGCGGGTTGCAAAAACATTCCCTTCAGCCAGAAAGGCCTAACCCTGCAATCTGTACCTGGCTTTCTCCCCCTTCCCCGTAAAAACAGAAAGGAAATGGAGAACAAGAAAAACAGCAGCCGAACCAAAACCGCCTCCTCCTGACCCCATTCCTGAGCCCCATCCCTCAAATTCAATCCCCAAATTCCCCACCTGCTTTTCTCCTCTAATTGCTTTGTACCTAATCCCTGCTTTAGTAGTCCACTCATAATAATAACTTAAAAGGCGTCTCAGGTAGTAAGTTGCTCCACACATGCATATGGAGACGGCATCTCTATCCCTGTCTTCTTCCTCTGTGGAAGCTCTCTCTACCCGTGCTTCTCTCCCTCACAATCACAATAATAAGCTGTTTTCAGACCATACCCCCTCTCCTTCGTCTTTCCCTTTTTTTTATCCAGTTCGGTCAAGAACAACCACCGACAACAAGATTATTGCTGCTGCTGCTGTACCTGGATCTTCCCAAATTAACTCTTGTTTTCTCACTACAACCTCCTCCTCCTTCTTCTCTTCTTCTGCTTCTGGGCGGAGTCCTTGTCTGCCCGCTCTCGCTCGTAAACCTTCCCGTCAGGATCAGGGCCACCACGAAGAAGATGCTTCTTTGGGGAATCCCAACGCCTTCCACTTACTCCCGCACGACTCTCTTTCTCCTCCTCTTCCTCTTCCTCCTCAGGTAATTATATCATTACAGTATATAAATTCGACTTTCTTTCTCCTGTTCTACGATATTAACTAGTACATTAGTAATTCTGGTTTCATTGATTAAACTTAATTTCCTCATTTTTTTTCTCCTAGAGCAACCAAAAAAAAAAAAGTCTGGATTTTGTATTATGGAGATTGAGGAATAAGAAATATAGCATTAGCTGGATATTGGCATTTATGGTTAGGTATAGGCTAGTTGCTTTTTGGGTAATGAAGCTGCTTCATTCTATCGCAACAAGATGGACAATAATGCAATTTATGTCTGATCGGGCTCAATTACCACTCGGATATGTTTGGACCTGTCTTCCATTTTTTTTTCCCTTTGTCAGGATTAGAGATTTTTTGACGCAGCAATTGTCTTGTTATGAATTGACATGTCATCGGGCAACATCATAGAATCATCCGTGGCACATAATTTGCTGGTCAAACACTTGAAAATATTGCAGAATGTTCTGGCCCGTGCTGCTTTATAACAGAACCAGTTTTCCTTGTCTCATCAAATGTGATAAAGTTCATACCTTTCATTAAATTTCACATATTTGAATAGATTTCTGAAATCAACTGATAATGGAAGCGGAGATTGTTTTATGTATTCGCTTGAATCCAGTTCATGCTCAAACAAAGATTTAGATTTCTATTGCAGATATCCAAATCTTATCTCATAAGCATTCACACAAATGACGAACCTTAATTTTATTGTGCTCTCCGTGGCATGTGTTCCTTTCCCTGTTTCCCTCATATAGTACACAAATGGCTATGTCAACTGGCTTTTTTGACTTTGTTGTGATCGTTTCTATCATGTTCTGAAGGGCAATTCAGAACACCAAGAAACCAGTGAAGAAAATTTGGATACGACATCGCATGTCATGACTCCTCTTGTGGCCTCACATGGAAGCAACACAGGAGGAGGTACAAGGGCTGGACTTTTTCGAACTCCAATATCTGGGGGAGTACAAAGTGCCACCTCAGCTCATGGCTTGCCTAGACCAGCTTTGGCAGTCCGTAATCTTATGGAACAGGTAAGACCAACTTTTTGCAGAAAAATTCACAAACATTACTTTTGATACTTTTAAAGTAATATGCTAAAAAAAGTTCAAAACAAATGGGTTTTTTTGGTTTTCTACTTCACTGTAATTTTTCTCCTTTTGCTCCTATTGAACATGACGGCATTTGAAGGCTAGGTTTGCTCACTTATGCACTGTGATGTCGCGGATGCACCATCGGCGTGAAGGTTATCCATTTGGCTCTCTCGTAGATTTTGCACCAGATTCAACGGGACGTAAGTAATTGGAAAACTGCTGTACACTTAGTTATGTACATACATACTACATGTCTGTATCTTTTCTAGTTTCATTATTTCCAGTTTCTCCTTTTACTTTGATGTCCCATCAGTACAGTACAGTACATACTGAACAAGAATTTCTTTGAAACTTGTTTTCTAACCTTACAGACATAATTAAATCACATTGTTATGAGAGAGATATTTGGTTCTCACCCTCAGGAAGGGGTTCTAGTCATTTCTCAGGACTTTTGACAAGTTGCTTTGCTGCCTTTATGTGTACAATTTACTGTTGAGAAAGCTTACATATTGTCATAGGAAACATGCCTCAAATGCGAAAGATCACTTTTGATGCTACAATTTGCAATGTTAGGGAATATGCCTGAAATGAGAAAGATTACTTTCGAAGCTACAATTTGCAATCTCAGGGAAGTGGAAGTGGTTAGGACGTCGGTTTTTTATAGCATTTACCATAAACCTGTCAAAAATATCCAGTAGTTGAAACTGTTACATAATACTCTCATTGGTTTTTTTGTTGTCACTTTGATCTAACTTTGACAATTAAACTATCTGATTTGTCTCCTTGGTGCTTGGTGTGGTGCAAGAGAGAAGGAAAAATAATTACATGGGGAAAAATTAAGGAGAGATGAAGAAAGATCTGTGTAGCTAGCAGATGGCTGTTGATAAACGTTCCTTTTGATGGTAAATAATGGCATATAAGTGGAGCAGAGGGTTGGGATGGAGTATCTTATGGCATCAAATAATCGGATTTCATGGCAGAAGCCTTATCTATGACACTGATACTGAAATGAATGCTGTGGTAGTTTTGTTTCCATTGTAATTTTCTTAAGCTGATGTTTACTGTTTCTGTGTTTTGCTTATAGACCCTATATTTTCATTTTCTCCACTGGCCATACACACACGAAATTTGTTAGCTGAACCCAGATGCACTCTGGTTGTGCAGGTTAGTAACCACATTCAAAGATCTTGGTGTTTTTTATTTTATTTTTTCTATGAGATTTGTGAATGTTTATGCTTTCTAGATTCCCGGATGGAGTAGCCTATCAAACGCAAGGGTAACAATCTTTGGAGATGTTTACCCTCTCCCTGAAGACCAGCAGGTGAGTCTCACTTGCTATGGCTTTTCAGAAATCCATGCTTTACAGCTATTTTAAAAATAGATTGTACTCTGTGTGTTACATGTTTTGATAGATTACTCAGTTAAATGCCTTGATGAATTATTGTTCTTCTAAGGTTTGATAGATCAAAAAGGAAAATCTAATATATAAAGGGGAAAGAGGGAATGGCCCTCCGTATAATTATCAACTAAAGACCTTATACGAATGTTTGAGACTAATGAGTAGCCCACTTCGCTAAGCACAATTTCATCCTCTAGTCAACAGTGCTCAGAGGAGTCGAATCTTACCTTCCATGCCCCTTCCTTGCGTTCTGCAAGTCATTGCTACACAAATTGCAGTGTCGTATTGGAAACAGTTACTCTACTTGTTTCTGTCTTGTTCTGATCTTTGTTATATAATTTTTACTTCTCCTATTTTCTCAAGAATCTTTTGACCTGTTTCCGTCATTTCCTGTGCGTTTAGAGTTGTCTGCTGCTTTATCAGATAAAGTACCTGATTAACCTTTCCAGTCTTGTCTTCCACCCTTTCCAACCCTCTCTGCATTCGATGGAGGGGTGACTTTTTGTGTTAACTTGCATTCCAACTTGTTTACTTGTTATTTACGGTGAGTATCCATTTATAACTTTTCCTGTATGGATCACCAGGAATGGGCTCATAAACAGTACATAGCAAAGCATCAACAAGGACCATCACAACAGTGGGGAAACTTCTACTACTTTAGGATGGAAACTATAAGGTTGGAGACAAAGTATAATGTTGCATGCTGCACTAGTTAAACAGTTGAGCAATGGTGGATTCTGGGATACAACTGTTGCCTTTTCCTATAAAACTCCACATCACTTCCCAATTTATCCAACTAGCATAATTTGGTCGTTATTGCCTAGATGATGTACAAACTATCTTTTCAGTTTTCAGAGTCCATTTTTGGATTTATGCTGTCACCCAAAGTCATTTGAGGCTTAGTTACTGAGCATGAGACATAGTCACCTAGTAAGAAAGCTCGTCATTGTGGTGCCAAATCATATTTAACATGTCAATCATAAGAAAATACACATGGTACATTTGCCAGCTAAATGGGAAGAAAGATTGTAATGGCTCCGTCTAATTGGTCTTAGCATTCTCACTATTTTGCCCTGATTTTCTCAGAATTTATGATTATTCTGGTAGGTTTAATTAACTTTTTATTTCACACTAACTTTCTTTCTTCACCTCTGGAAATGTTAAATTTTGTGGTGGTGCTGATGTATTTTTATAAAATTTTTACTATCACTTAATTTCAGTTACTTGGTTTAACACGTGCTGTTTATTATAAGTCAGAAGAGTATCAACTTAATGGTGTACAAATGTTAAAAAGCATTAAGATATAGTTGACATAAAAAAGGTTGAATCAAATTTAGGTGGTTTACTTGTGGATTAGTTAATTTTTCTTTGTCTCTCCTTTTTTAATATTCTTGCTCATTTACATTTTCTGAGTCCCAATGGTTTGTCTGATTGACATTTGTAAATGTCCTGTAACATGAAGTTTAAGGAGATCTCCTTATATGTCATGCTTTATCTTGTGCATTGATGGCTGTCATGCAGGAACTCCATTTTCGGAGTTGGATTTATGTGCAGGGCAGTCACCTTGATATATCTTGATGTTCTTTGTCTATACAACGTGAGCTTTATAATGATTGGTTTTGTGCTGTTTACCTACAGTGACATATATTTTATTGGGGGCTTTGGTACTGTTGCTTGGGTTGATGTCAAAGAGTACGAGGCTCTTCAGCCTGATAAGATTGCTGTTGATGGGGGTGAACAAAATTTGAAGGTATGTCATTTGGCACACTTGTCATTTCAAGAATGGAGTGTTAACGTTTCGTTCTTGTTTTGTTATATCCCTAATTCTGCCTTTTCCTAAGAGTGCATGCCCTACACAATTCTTTTCTTCCCATCAAATAAGAGAGAACTAGCAGTCATCATATCAAAGAGAAATAGGCAATAGCTATCTGGTAGAGCTGTGAACGTGGAGGATGCTGGTTTGGGATGGAGTTAGGTTTAACCAATTTCAGCTGGCTCATTTACTTTGTATATACCTTGTTCAAGCTGGATTTCCAGTTTTCATAAGCTGGACTACCATGACTGGACTGTTTCTGCTGGCAGCTTGGAGTGTTTCCAAAATAAGCTGTTTTCGACCTATAAATGATTTATACCTTTAATTGACGCTCAAACTTGAACTGGTGTTGAAATTAAGCTAAAAGTTTTTGTCGAGTTTGAACCTAGGATTTTTCGAGGAGAGGAATTAATATACTCAAGCTCAAAACTAATACTACTTTTGTTGTGATTATATGTTATGGATCAGATTTAATGTGCATTTATCTACAGCTCATAAGAGGATCTTTAGTTGGAGCTCATGTTAGTGATTATATATGGGACTAACGAATATATGTTGAAATAGAGAGTACATTAGTATCTTATGATATGGTCATAGGACTCGCATCTGAACAGCTTTGATTTTCGACTCTCTGCTGTTTTTTTTCTTTTATAATTTGACAAATATGCTCAACATAAAATTGGGTGTCATTTGGTAAATATACCACACCACACCATGCCTTGCGCTGGAGAATGGTTGGATGTTTGTTATCCTGCCCCAGGAGTGGGTAAAAGGGTCTTCAAATTCTAATGTGCTTTTGCCTGAGTAGGAACTGAATGCAATATTTTCAAAGCCCTTGAAAGAGCTGTTGTCTCAAGAAGTTGAAGTGGATGATGCTGCTCTCATATCAATTGATAGCAAGGGGACTGATATCCGTGTCCGTCAGGGAGCACAGGTTCTTTTTCTTCCCATTTTGCAATTTTATAGATTATATTAGTTCGTCGAAGCTATTATTGATTGTCTTTACTTACTGCACCCTTGCTGCCATGCTGCAGTTCAACATACAAAGGATATCTTTTGAAGAGGGGCATTCAGCTGAAACGCTGGAAGAAGCCAAGGCAGCCCTCTGGAAGTTGATAAATAAAGGTCGTCTGTACAACTTACAAAAATAAAAATGTGTTTTTTTTTTTTTTTTTTTTGTGGAAGGACTCGTGTGAGCTTCTTAAGACTGTATGTAATATTATTAGCTTAGCCGGAATAACAGATGAGGTGTGACGGTCCACATTTTTTGGGATAAAGATTGTGATGTGTTCGTACGGGAATATGGTAGCATTAACAAAGAAAGAGTTCTTGTTGGATGATAAAGAGTATAACCTCGTGAAATAACAAAACAGAGAATTACAAACCGAATATGGCAATGGATAAGAGTATACAAAGGCAAGGCTGAATATGGCAAATTTAGTTTGGACTTTGCTTAAAAAAAAAAAGAAAAGAAAATGGTGTCAGCAAGCTCCAGATTGGAGTCGTGATTACTAGAATAGCGGCAGCAATTGTAAGGAAAGAAGAAGAAGTAACTAACTACTTTACCTGCCTTTAAAAAAAAAAAAAAAAAAAGAAGAGTATTCCTCCTTTCTTCATCCAAAGGACGGTTACGTTGTTTTAACCAGAATTACTACCGGTGAAGAAGATTAACAAAATCTGCCGGATACAAGTGGAGACCAATCAGTGGCCAACTGATTGATAAAATGAAAGAACAAGGCAAGACGAAGAAGAGACAAACTACAGAGGAAATTTACAGTAGTTTGCTGTGGTATCAAAGGAGGAAGAAGAGAGAGAGAGAGAGAGAAAAAAAAAAAACTAGAGCGTTCTCCCCTCTGCCCACACCCGAGAGTGTCCCAGTGGGCCCCCACCACCACCACCACCAAAACCAGCAGGCAGCAGCAAAGGAAAGGAAAGGAAAGGGAAAGGGTTGCAGACAGACAGCAATCAGGTTGCTCCGATAGACCCTCTTGCCGCCCACCCATGGCTGAAAGGAGAAGAAGCAACGGCAGCAGCAAGTCATCATCATCATCATCATCATCACCAGGTACAGCAGCAGCGACAGTGTGCAGAATACCGGATGACCACATCTTCTCCATCTTGTTGCGTCTTCCAATAGACTCAATCCTCTGCTTTGGGATGACTTGCAGAAGATTGAGGTCTCTTACTTACTCCGACGCTCTCTGGGAATCCATCTGCAGGCGCGACTGGGGTTCCTCCTCCGTCGATGACCTCATCAAGGCCCATGACCCATCAATCCCCATCGCCTGGCAGAACCTCTATCAGCAGCTCCACCAGTTGGATTCTGTCTATTGTCGGAGGCTCTTGGCTGCTGCTGCACCTGCAACACCGCCAGCCCCCGACATGGTCCCCAGCCCAAGAGCTTCTCATTCACTTAATTTTGTGTCTGGATGTTTGCTTCTCTTTGGTGGCGGCTGCGAGGGAGGTCTGTTTCTCTCTTTCTTTAAAATGAAAGGAAAAAGAAAACTAAACTCCCTCGTTTTTCTTTTAAGTATTTCTTTCTTTTGCCCTATTTCTTTTCCTCTTTTCTTTTTCTTTTTTTTTTTTTTGGGTACGCAAAAGATGAAATTTTTTTTTTGGCCCCTAAAGATTGTTCTTTTGTGATTGCTTTTCTTGTTCTTTTCCCAATTCCAACCCTGGTTTTGCATATAAGCTCACAGCTTCTGTGATTGCTTTTCTTGTTGGATCCATCTTAGCCTTGACGTCATATCATAACATTTTCTTGCTCAGAGTTAGTTCCTTGGTGACTAAAACTCAACTCGCAAATGCGTTTTCTTTCAATTTTGGATTCTTTGAGCATGATCTTCTGCATTCGGCATACTGTTGGACCATAGTCCAAACTGAATCAGCTGGATCAATGTGTTAGAGTCTCTACTTTATGTTGCGTTGATCCTACTCTACTTTGAATCAATCAGTTTCTTCTTGGTTTTACAGTCGTATTGTCTTCCTTTAGGTCGGCATCGTGATGATACGTGGGTAGCATATATGGGCAATGACTTGAGGAGGATATTGAAGTGGCAAAAGATCAGTTCAGACATCCCAAGCGGACGATTTGGGCATTCGTGTGTTGTAGTTGGTGATTCCCTCGTCCTCTTTGGAGGGATCAATGACAATGCGGTCCGGAAGAACGACACCTGGATTGGACGTATAGTTCTGCATGAGACATCTGGTATGACATTGTCCTGGAGACTGCTTGATGTGGGTTCAGTTGCACCTCCACCTCGGGGTGCTCATGCTGGGTGTTGCATTGACAAGAGGAAGATGCTTATTTATGGCGGAATTGGAATGTCTGGTGTTAGGCTGGGTGATACCTGGGTTTTAGATCTGTCAGAAAATCTTTGTTTTGGAACTTGGGTAGAAGTTGTGACTCATCCATCTCCTCCATCTCGTTCAGGGCACACACTAACTCATATTGGGGGAACACGAACAATCTTGTTTGGTGGAAGGGGATTGGGTTATGACGTGCTTAACGATCTATGGCTCTTTGAAGCATACGAGGGTTTTTGGAGATGGTTACAGTTGCCAATTGACTTGCAAAGCATCCCACATGGACTTTCCCTTCCACGAGTTGGTCACTCGGCCACACTCATCTTAGGAGGTCGATTGCTTATTTATGGAGGCGAGGATTCATGCAGGCACAGGAAGGATGACTTTTGGCTTTTGGACGTCAATTCATACAGGCAACCCATTATTACTCTCCCGCTCACAAAAATGTGGAAGAGGCTGAGAGCAGTGGGTGATAATCCCAGGTGCAGATCATTTCATCAAACTTGTGCGGATAATTCAGGACGCTACTTGTACGTCTTTGGTGGGATGGTGGATGGCGTACTTCAGCCTGCTGAATTGTCGGGGTTGAGGTTTGATTCCAGTCTTTTTCTTGTGGAGCTTTTGCTTCTGTCCTAAACGTTTACACAGTATATTATAAAAGGGTTTGATGATGCCAGATATCGTGGATGCTGCAAATCTGTGAAGCTTGTAAATAGTAGCAGCAGCTCTTTTTAGGGAAGTGCTTCATTAAGATCGTTGTTGATGAGCTTCATCAAATAGAAGCTTGTAAATAGGAGTAGCTCAAAGACGCGACTGGTTTGCTGATTAAAAAGGCCCAAAAAAAAAAAAAAAGGAGAGGACTAACCGGGGGAGCCCCTGGCCGAACAGAGTGGTTCTTTGCCTTTTCGGATGGTAGCTGGAAATGCCCTGAACAGAATTGGCCTTAGCGCTGAAATTTAAGGCTGATAAATTCCGGATGTTTTTGGTACCATCTTTTCCTGCCAGTTATTAGGTGGTCTTTTTCAGCTTTTGATTTCTGCTGTATCATATCATATACGCCTGTATTTTTGAGTTGTGCTACTATAAAGTACGGAATTAACAACACTAGTGATGGAAGAATGGGAACGTGCGTGCATATCCCTAGCAAACCCAATGATTCTTCGATGAAAAAGAAACCAAACTGTATACTATTAAGGAAGCAATTCTAACAGTATTATACAACATTCAGTTGACATCTTCTAGGGAGCACTGCATACAAGTTCATGAATCTTGGCAAAACCAAGTCATGATTGTGTGTGCCCCTCTGGAAGAACCATCAACCCTACATATCCATCTCATACCAGCAAAGATACAAAAGTAATCAAAAAATGGAACTAATCCCTCCCACAATTCCCAACCCCTTCTCCATTTCCTCCAGACGATGTAAACAAATCATTATCACTATAACCTACCTTCTAAACGTACCAAAAAGAAAAAATGCAGATATGCTGAATACATTAAAATAACTGGCAAAAAATAACTCATAAGTGTAACTTAGTTCTCCACATTTCCCCAATGACCTTCCTTGGTGCTGGATCATCAGGTCCCCTGTCTCGTTGTCCAGACGTGAAGTACAACCATCCATTCCAAAAGCCAACAAGAGTAGTTTTCACTCGATAAGGAAGCTTTCCCACGACTGACCATTTCTTTAGCAGTCCAAAACCAGGATTGAAAACAAAACAAACAAAGAAAGAAAAATATTTCAGAAAGTCAAATACAGATCAAGAAAGAAGTTTCATGAGAAGATACCAGCAAAATCGGTTGCAAATAACCAGCAGCAGAAATAGAAGAGACCCAAGAATACTCAAGAACTGACTAACACAGTACAAAAGCAAACATTTGCATCTGTCTGCTTACCACCACATTATGCTGGTACACATTTATGCTTGTATGACACTTTTTTTTTTTCGAGGAAAGAGAGGGGGGGTTGATAATCCATCTCCAATGTTACATCTGCTGAGTTTGGTAAAAGATTGCAGGAAAAATATCAGCAGAATAGCAACGATTAATGTCTTTGTCTAGGCTATATACTTTTTTCCTAAGTTTTTGAATACGGGTAACAAGCTTAACTAAGGGCTTTTTGGCTGAACTTCACCCATAGAGAAGATGCGTCTTCTAGCATCAAAAACATTAGACCATTAATTATCAAGTTTTTAGACATTAAGCATACATTAAGCATACTTCTCCAACAAGCGTCATCTTCTTTGTTTAGGGTGCTTCTCTGTTGTGCCTCAAAAACATTAGACCATTAATTATCAAGTTTTTTAGACATTAAGCATACCAGTGTATCTAACTGAAACTGGAATACTTCTCCAACAAGCGTCATCTTCTTTGTTTCAGGGTGCTTCTCTGTTGTGCCTCCAACAATAATGATTGAATTATTCACAATTTTCCAAGCAAACTCTATGTGTGAATCAGGCTTTGGCATAGGCGGTAAGACCTTCCAGTTCATATCATCATCCAGCATGTAAACATCACCATAGACAACCTGTAAGAGTCTCAAGCTGCATACTTTAGAATAGATCTTAGATGTTTCCAAAATATTCACTTTGCTTTAGACAAAATTCTCGGTCTACTACTAAAGAAGAAGTGAATAAATCAGCTCATAACTAACGATGTCATGAGATATTAAAAATTAAGTCCAATTAGAGAAAATGACACTTGCCACAATCATAACTGGTAAAAGAATAAAGCACTATGCTGCTCTTTTTTTTCTTTTTCTTTTTTTATTTCATGAGTAAAAGTGCTTAATGTAGGTGAAAGAAGTATATTACCTCATTCCTGCGAGAGCACTTAAAAATAGGAGACCCAGGCTTTGCCATAAAATCACCCTCTTGACCACCTATGACGTACAATCGATCATCAACCACGACACAAGCCCTACATGAATGTGGTTTTTACACCAGAAACAAGAAGATCATTCACTCGTGCTGGAAATTCCATTGAAATTACAACTGCAAATTGAAAAACTAGTGTTTCTGAATCGTCCTTAGTGTTTTCTCTAATGTCTTTTAAGAAAATCTCCATCAATTATAGAATAAAGCCCTATTGCACGATAAATATCAGAGATAAGTTCTTCACCTTCCATTGTTTTAGCATATCTTGACGGAAACAGTAGTCATCCATAAATACAGTTGTGAAACCAAATTTGAGCTAACAAAACTTTGTTGTCTAATTACATCAGAAATTCAAGCAACATAGAATGGTCACGTTAACATGAGAATAGACTCCTTAATAAATTCAAATCTTTACAAATCAAACACTTGCATGTTTAAATCTGATCTTTCTAAATAATTTGACATTTAAATTCCCAGCAACAGAAAGCGCGATTGCACAGATAAGAGAAGAAACCAAATGCAAACTTAAATTTTTATGTAGTGAAATCTAACCTCTCTGGAAAATAAACCAATGAAAAAAAGGAACTCTTACAGACAGAACCTGAACAAACTTTCTTCTCCGCCATTACTCTCACCCCCACAAACAGATTAACTGTTTTATTTACTGTGACATACAATTAATTCCAGGTAAGTAGTGGGAACAAACCTGTGAGGTCCACCACGGGGTATGGGAACCTCAGTCCGCCACTCCTTCTCTAAAGCTTTGCCATCTTTTACTGCAATACTCCAATGCTCTAATCCAGGTGTATGACGATTCTCTTTGCTGCCACCCATCACATGAAGTCTTCCCCTCCAGAGTTGAGTTGCAGGTGCATACCTGAAATTATCTGAGTAAATCTTTAACAAAGACATGTACAGAAGTGACAGCCACACCACAGTTGCGTTCTGGGATACACCTAGTGGAAAGTGAATTCAGTACATGCTGAAAATCACATCACATCTTTCATTTTAACAACCATAGGAGAGGGCCATTCAACACCCAACTTGCGCTCGAAAGTAAAGGTGCAGCTTCAAACATGCTCTTCATTAAGTAAGACGGAGGGCAACACTATGTGCTAGACAAGAAATATTTAGTCCCCAAGAAAACCAAGTCCAAATACCAGAATTGGCACACACAACAAAGAATGACAACTTGAGCATTCACAACTCAAAATAGAAGCAGGACAAGACGAGGCATTTGGACGACAAAGTCATGCAAAAGAAATAAATAGATTGAAAGCTCAAGAAAATCGAAGATTAATAAAACTAACCAGGCGGAATGGAACATTCATACCTAGGGAGAGGTAGAGGAGGCATGTTGCTCCACTGCTGCGTCTGTGTGTCAAGCACAAATGTTCGTGCAGTAGGCCCTCTACACTGAGGGCCATATTGCCCAGTAACTACATAAACATACCTCCCATCTGTAACCATACCCAAATGTGAATGGGCCATCTCTTTAGGCATATCAAACCTTCCTCCCCATGTATTGTCGGTAAAGTTATAAATGTCCACATGAGAATGCACCTACAGCAGAGAGATAAAGGGATGATATAGTGAATCAAGTTGAGGTAGGAAATATACGGTGTAAATCGAGAGAGAGTAAGAAAGGAGAGGTGGGAATGGGTTTTACATAATCAATGGTTCCGTATCCGGCAAAGACATAAAGGAGATGGCCGATCTGAATGGCAGCACCGTCAAGACGAGGGACGGGGGCAGGGGCCATCTTCTCCCATTCCAAGAGGGGAGCTGGCAAATCGGAAAAGGTAGCCGATAGTAACCTCTGATTGGTCTTTACATGTTTGTCGGCGGCGTCCTTGGCCTGCATAAATGAGAGTATACACAAAGGGGAAATAAAGCACTCGGAAAATGAAAAGAAAGAAAGGCAGAAGCAGTAGCAGTAGAAAGCAGCCTGGGGTTTTGTATATAAATACTGAAAAATCAGAATTAGAGTTGCTGCTAAATATTCGTGTTAGGGTTTATGAGTTTATTATTATCATTATTTTGGTTGTTTGCTCTAAAGATATGAAATTTGCAGTGGAGGGCAAAAAAAAAAAAGAAGGAAAGGTGAGAGAAAGAGGAGGAGGAGGGGTACCTTGAAGGTAGCGGGAGCGGAATGGGTGTGATTGGGGAAGGGAGAATGGGAGATGAGGACGAAGGGCGTGGAGGAGGCAGGAGAAGGAGAAGAGGCGGCCCAAAGTAGATCTGCGATTAGAGCAAAACCCAGTAGGCCTATTATGCAGGGCAACACCAATTTCTTGGCGGCAGCGGTTTTATGCTGCTTGGCGGTAGCTGCCGTTGGCCTCCCCGATCCCATATGTCAAATCTGAATATCAACAACGTCGCGATCTCGTCATCATCTTCTCTGTTGTTGTTGTAGTATGAAATATAATAGCAGTCGTTTATGATCCATGACCCATCATCATCATCATCATCCACTCGTCTTCTTCCCTCATCTATTCATTCATAGAAGATGTACACATTCATCCTTACAATCATTATATTACCATTCTCGCCCCTTTAATAATCAATAAAATGTGACAAATTATATGTGCGCACAAGTGTCTCCAGACTTTGAATTGAATACTCACAGAAATCAAATACCATCTGCTCCCGCTGTCGTCCTGCACATTGATTCTTTTTTTTCCTTTTTGGGGTATGAATGTATTACGCGTTCCGCGGTTTCGTAATACTACAAAGAAAATGGCCACGTTGGTCTCTCGTGTCTTAGCCAATTTAGATCGCGAGACCCCCCCAACAAGAGTCTAAGTATTGTAATGGAAAATTAAAAAATTCTAATGAATTGGTATGCTGGTTAAAAAAAAAAAAAAAAAAAAAAGTCTGCCCTAATTGGTATCCGGTGACATATAAAGAAAAAAAAAAAGACATGACCCCTGAACGATCATTTTTAACAGTGCACGTCACTCTAATGAATTGGTATGCTGGTTAAAAAAAAAAAAAAAAAAAAAAGTCTGCCCTAATTGGTATCCGGTGACATATAAAGAAAAAAAAAAAGACATGACCCCTGAACGATCATTTTTAACAGTGCACGTCACTAATTCAGTTAGAATTTTTCAAATTTTCATTAGAAATCACATATTTTTTTGACAGAAATAAAAAACTAAAATGATCACAATGATAGATAAAAGGATCGAATTTGCTAGGCACCAAAAATGCCATTTTCCCTACCACTGTCTAAATTTTAATGAAATTATGATATTTTATACACAAAAAAGAGAACATTGGTGTGCTATTTTTTATTTTATTTTATTATGTAGAGACTTTAACTACTCATTTTTTAAGGTAGCCAAGCTTGGTCGCTCGACTCTTGCATAGTACATGTGCCTGGAGGTTGGGGCTTCGCAGAAGAGGAATCCTTCCAATCCCAGATAGGTATGTAGCGTACTTTGGCACTTCAAATACCGCTGCCTAACTATAATCACTCCAACACGGAGGGATTCTAACCATTGATCCTTTAGGCTTCAAGCTGTTGGCTACCATTAAAGACTTTAAAATCTTGATAAAAGGAACGTCAAGAGTTCAAACATTCTCTTCCATCAATTGTCTGCCATCAATGCACCACTACATTTCTTATAAATCCATACAAGTGCATAATTCACTCATCTGATCCGATGGTGACCCCGTTAAACCTCTCCCCCATTAGAATAAGTTAGACTACAAGTAGACTAAACTAGTTGTTGCCGTCTGATAAAATAAAATAAACACACTAAGGGATTTTGGGTGGGCAGTTTTTTATCTTAGGAGAAGACCACACACACACAGACTTTTAATCATATCATATCCAATTCCATCCCCCTCCCCCCCAACCATTGCCTTTCTTCTCCACCCTCTTTTCCAAATATATCAAGTACCACCAACACAACAAATAGAATCTGCTCAAGCATGTATATACAGCATCAAGTTTTCCAATTGCTACTATATATAAACCATTCCGGTACAAAACCTTTCATTTCATGCTAGTATAAGAAATTAATAAAATGAGACCCCCCTTACTCAAAGGATTTAACAATTAAAAAAAAAAAAGCAGAGAGAAGAAAAACCATGCACAAACTAACGACAGCTCAATCAACCACTATATTTTTGCACTCCTCTACAACCACTACCTATATTGCAAGACAACAAACCTTCACAAAGCAAATTACCCAAAACCAGTCGATGTCATTAAGAAACGAAACCAAATCCACTTAATTATACTGGGATCACATCTATCTTTGATGCGTCTTCGCAGCTCAACACCACACCCTCTAAGCTTGCCGGAAAGATACACTTGCTCCACTGGCATCCTGTTGTGAACGGCTCTGGAGGCGGAACTATCATCAGCACATTCTCGTTTCTCTGCACAACTCCCATCACACTCACCGTGCTCCCTTCTTTAATGTACCTAAGCCAACACGAAAAAAAAAAAAAAGCATTTCAGACACCCCAGCAGATGGAAAAAGCATCATCCCTTTTTTTTCGTTCTTTTCCAGTTTCCTCTTTTTTCTTTTTCTTTTTTGTGTTAATCCCCCTTATGGTTAAACGGTTCACAATTCTACCTTAGGTTATGTAGCTTCTCTAAAATGTGAATGCAAGTCATCAAAAACTGTACCACAACAAGGCCAGAGCAGATTTGAATTATCACTCCATTAATTATATGGAGAGCACTTCTAGTATTACAATGAAACTTCACAAGTACATTGGCAACATGGCATTAATTTTGATGAATAAGAAGGCTTACCCTTCCTTCAACCGCATCACTCGATTATCGCTCGAAAGATTCCTATCCCCCAACCATCTGATAAAATCAGGAGACAGCTCCTTGTTCAAAGGATTGACTTCAACAACGACAGATTCCTGCACATAAGGAGTCACCCTAGCACCATAGCCTGTCTTAACTAAAGCTCTCAAACCAGACTGAAAATCAGAGATGTAGAAGTCAACAACGTGCCTCTGCAAATAAGTCAAACATAGAGCAATTCTCAAAATCTTTGTCATGATCCCTGCAATGCAACAAGAAAAGCATGTACCACCAGAAACATCTAAAAATTTTTTAGCATGTAACAAGAAAAGAGGATCGGGATAGAACTCTGCTACCCTAAAGAAGGCTTCTTACCTGTCCAAAAAGGGGAAAAAAAAGAATATTGCTGTATGTAATTAAAAAAGATTGAGAAGCTAAGTACAGGAACGTACTTCTGATGACCTAAGCCCCCACGTAAAACGACGATGGGTAGGATTTGCAGCTTTTGAGTCCCAACCTCGATACTCATATAAACTTGTAGAAGTATAGACACATCTTGGCACCTTTTGGAAGGATGATTCCAGGGGTACATTTCCACAAGTCACCACCTTTGCAGTTTGACCATAATTTAACCATTAGCATAGGAGATCAAACCACCAAATTCAAAAGCTATAAAAGGCACTTCAATAAAAGTCCAGCAACAGGAGAAAAGGCTAAACACAATGAGGTAAAACACACTAATAAGAATGGCCAAAAATCCTATGCATTTTTTACACAAAAACATTTCTGAAGCAATCCAAAACCATTATTGTTTAATTAAATTTCTATAAAACAAAATGAAAGCAGGATCACTCATCACACGGCCTCTAACATCTAAAGCTGAATCAGAATTCAAATTTGCCCAAGCTCCAAATACATCCTCCTCCAACTGATAGCACTCCTTCCAGGGAAATGGGGATACAGAAGGAAAAGAGGATGTAACCATTCTGAAGTTGCTATTTGTTGGCCAGCAAAAAGCCAATAGTGGTCTTTGGATTAGCATCAGCTTATGAGCAACATAGCAGTTATTGGCCGCTAGGACCATAGACCTTCAAGACAGGCGTTCATACATGGTAGATGTTAGTCGCGGCCCAAGCATTTGTTTCAAGACGAAGTCAGATTGAGATAGCTATTCGTATGTCCCTACATTACAGTAGAAGACAACACTGAATGGAAGGGCCTTGTAACTCTCTCTCAGAGGAACTGGAATCTTTTTCATTTTCATGCCTCTGCGAGGCTGAACATTCTATGGTACAAGTACGGAGAATAGCTTTGGGGGTGATTCATGATGTCGCCAATTCAACTATGGAAACGAATAAAAAATTTAGTAGAATAGAAGTACTATAAATCAGAATTAACAAGTACTTACCCCTGAAACCTTGACATATTGCCCATTCTTTGCAGTTCTCAATTCGGCATCAGGATAATTGGCAATGAAACCAATTATAGCTCTTTTCCCCCAACAAGAATTCCAAAGGAATAACGCCGCAACAATGGCGAAGAGAACAACAACAACAATGAGCAAAATAGCATTGTGCACGGCTCCAAGGATAAAGCCACCAGCAATGAAACCCATGATGAACAGCAAGATCATTGCCCACAGGATAGGCTTTGGAAAATTCCTCTTGAAGGAATAGTCATCTTCTTGACTAAGAGTAGTCACAGCTGGGTTGTTAGCAACAGAAGGACCATGTACTTTGACTGACCCCATTGAGTCCAAAGGACCAGAGACCTTACGTGGGGCACCAGATGAATTCAACGGACCAGAAGAGATTGGACCGGAAGTAATTAGTCCTGTTGTAGGAAGAACTGGAGCGAGTGGACCGGAATTTTGGCGGGCAAGGGGGGTGACCCCACCAGATTGTGGGCCAGATGATTTTTTTATAGGTTCCCCATGTTTACTCAAAGGCCCAGAATTTGATTTCTTCATTGATGCTGAACCAGATGCTCCTGCAGATGATACTGGACCAGAGGTGGAATAGCTGGCTCTAGCAGCAGTATTAGGATTGATTGGTCCTGAATGTGAGGCAGCTCCAGCAAATGATCCAGTCCTTGAAGGAGCATTGGTTACAGGTCCAGATTTCCGTGACTTAGAGCCATCAACAGGAATATCAAACATCTTTCCAAGCTCTCCAGACTTCTTGATATCACCACCAGTGTATGGCATGGCCACAGAGCTCATGGTTGGTGTCCGCTCTTTCGGCTGCTCAGGCCGGCCAGATACATACAAGCCATTGCTCAGCTGATGAGATGGAAATCTAGAACCCATCCCGAGTTCTTATCATGCACTTATGAAGCACAAGTTCTGTAGCAGCTGTTATGTGTGGCTCTGAAATCTAATATCCCCATATGAGCCAAGGAAAATGTTGTCAGTCAAAAACATGCTTCATGTTGCAGAATGCACGACAAAATTATTGAAATAAGAGCAACACGGTAATTATGGTGTGTGCAATCAATAACAATAACTGGCAAATTGACTGAGAAACAAACCATGCACCAGTCATTACGTGGCAACAGAAGCTGCTTTCCCTCATTATCCAAAGAAGAAAATGGATGGCTATCCATATCTCAGTAGCATGAACCAAATAAGAGGGTAGATCACTAATTGAGAAAAAAATCTCAAAATGCACGATGAATGTCATGAAGCAAAAACTTTCTTTCTTGCAATTTGAGTCCCAAAATATTTTGTGAACTTCCTATTCACAGTAATGCACATCATGTAGGACAAGCCCTTGCAATTGGTCCCTCTTCACGCTTAAACCTAAGTTTTAAAGTTCAAATTCACGGACTTAATTTCAGGGAAGTTTCTTCAATGAAAGTGTACAACCCACACTATAACCAATAGATCATTTACATGGGGATAGCCACAACTATGATTCTCACAAATAGATCTCAAAACAAATTTACGTTCATTTGATCCAACACACTCCTACACAAACCCCAAACAAGCACACTATGAGTTTGAAAGAAATAATATAGGGATGGTCAAAAGAGTACGTTAAAGGAAGGCAGAGAGAGACAGATAATCAACAGATACCATAACAAATACTAAACATATGAAAGATTTGGAAGCAACAAGTATCTAAGAATGTTCTAATATATGCACACTATCTTTGACAAATGTAAGTAGAGAAAGTCGACAAAACAAAGCCTGAAAAAGACACCAACTCGACAGCCTTGATAGATTAGTGATAATCGGGGGTAGATCACATAGAACAACTGTTGCATCTTTTGCAAAACCAAAAGTTTTCCATAAAGAAGCATAAATCAACATACACAAATAGATATTGCAAACGTGAAGCGAGCAACAGCTAGGGCAAAGAACCGCAAGTCAGCAGCAAGTCAACAGCTAGGATTGGCATTTCGTTTTCTTCAAAATCAATAAAGACAAGTCAGCAGCAAGGCCAAATGGAGATGTAAGACAGCTGGGACTTAGATCAAACCAAATAAAACATTTTTTTTTCTATTTTTTCTTAATATATAGGTAGCAGCCCTTTTACCAGACCAAGAAGTAACAACTCCACTAGGGTTTCCTTTTGTATATTTTCCCCTTCCACCGTTAAAGCTTCAACCGAGTCATTCTGAGCTCTGGGCAGTCCAGGAATGCAAATCAGCGAGAAATAATTCGAGGAGAAACTGCCTAAATTTGATAACCCTACCATAACAGACAGCTATGTAAATTGGCATACATTTATCCAGTTCATAATGGCAGACCTCAAACAAAAGTACAAACTTTGACATGAAATCAAGAAAACAAGGCAGACCCATTTCACCATTTGGAGCAAAAAGGAGAGAAACACCCAAAGATCGGGGGCATAACCAATGGAGAATGAGAAAGCAAAGAGAATGGAAAAATAATAATAACAAAAGGAATAAGAGAGCGAGAGAGAGAGAAGCAAATTAGGTGAAGGGAGGGAGGTTTACCTGAAATAGTAGCAATTAGAGGAAGGAGAAGGGTGAAACCTGAGGGAAATACAGATCTGGAGACATGAGATGGGAGTAGAATGGGATGGTTGATGGAATATGAATAGTAGCAGTAGCACAACAAACACAGATGCGAAGGGATGAGATGAGATGAGGAAGAGCAAAGAGGAAAATGGGGGTTTGGGGGATGATGTCTCACTCTAATTGATGTAATTTGGGGTTCAGTTAGTGATGGTTGGGATTTTGCTGCTGCTGCTGATGTCGTCGCTGTAGTCGTTGCTGGTGCGATCCCATCAACATCTACTTCATTTCTTTCTTTCTCTGTTTAGTTTTGTTCTCTCTCTACTCTCTAAGTACCCCTTCTCCTCCTAGTACTATATCTTCAGAGTGCCGCAACAACGGGTGGGTTGTCTCGTCCGGCTATAACCTCCTCCAACATCCCGATTTTTCAAAAAATTTATATATACATCAACCAACTACTAAAACATGGACACTAAAAGTTAAAAGAAACAGAAATTTAAAAAAAAAAAAAAAAAACGAGAGATAATAAATACTCTGGTTGTTAAGTCTCAAGGTCGTCACATTATCAACTCAACCTAATTCGAACTTTTCTTCTTCTTCTTTTTTTAAATTAACAATGCGACTAGAGAGCCTGTTTGGAATTTTTGAAATAGGAAAAAGAAAATTAAAATTAAGTAACGAGAGAAAATGAAAGAATTACAAGAAAAGGAAGGGCTAATTTCTCAAAATTATCTAAAAAAAATATCTCAAAAGTGGGGGTTTTCGGGGACCTCTTCCAATCAAATGTGGGGAACTTTTTTTTTTTTGTCCTTCTTTTGTTTGACACCTTTTTTAAAAAAAAAATGTTTCTCAGTCGCCACATAGTATTATGCAATGAGGAAGAAAAAACTTTTTTAAGATTTTAACCTGTCTGTTGCCGCACAATGCTATACAATGACGAGGATAATTTTTTCCATTTCTTTCGGTCATTGCATAATTGTTTTCGGCAATTGACACCTTATTTTAAAAAAACATAATTTTTTTTTTAATTTTTTTTTAATGACAGTTTTTTTTTAAAAAAAAAAACTTAGTTCGATCAGTTCAATTTATTTTTCAAATTATTCACTGAATCGAAGCGAAGACATGACCAGTTTGTGGTTTGATTGATCAAATCGGTCAATCCAATCCGATTTTCAAAACACTAGTTTAAACTGATGCATCTACAAAGTGGTATCTTTTGCAGTTGTACCGTACCATCAACAACAAATAGTTTAGAAAATAAAAATCAATTAGCAAGGTGAAATAAGCACTTAACTTAATGCTAATTAATAACACCTACACAGGCCAACAATAACAAACCCCACTCCTACCTTCTCACTAGTTTTCACTAAGGGTGATGCTAAATCAAATAGCTAAACTTGAACTCGCAAACTACTCAATCAACAACTCGATTTGAATTCACTTTAATTGAGTTCAAACTGGAATTTGAGTTGCTCATTTGATCTCACAAATCGAACTCAAGTTCCAAATTCTTGTACATGAAGGATCAATGAGTCTAATCGAGCTTTTTATAATATATATTTCTTTATTTTTTATTTTTATTGCTGTAAAATGTCGATTATATTATTTATTTAAAATTATATATAAAATATTAAATTTTTATTATGCGAGCTTGAATAGACTCAATAGAAATTGATTAGAATCGATTAGATTTAATTAAATTCAAAATCAAGTTCGAGTACGAATAAGGTAAACTGAAGTCGAACTCAAGATCAAATATTTTTATGTCGAGTCAATTTCGAATTGTGCATTATTCGAACTCTGTTCAAATCGAATGCACCCTAGTCGTTGCACTTTCTCTTACACGATCTAGACTCTGCAATATGATGGGAGTTGCTCTACTCTTTTTTTTTTTTTTTTACTGGAATCCAGGAAGGTATATAATACATTAGTTTAGTATGGGGAATGCTATATGCATATGGCTATTCCTTCCCGCGCATATCCAAATGCAAGCGTACTACAATTTCTGCCTTATATAATCTATGCTATATTTACTACTACCTATATATTATTTTTTTATATATAAAGGGAAAAGGAGGTGTTGGTGTAAATTTTTGTTGGTGGCGCTTTATATCCTTTCATCTAATATGTATTTCTTATTATTTTGTTTTTTCAACTTATTTAGTGAACCTTAATTTTTATTAACAGCTATCAATTATGGCTATGAATTACTACTAAACAATTATTTATTTATATATTTTATTTTAGTGAATTTTCTACATGTCTACTACACCAGCATAAAACTAATTCTCTTGAATATGATTTCAAATATAGTTAAAAAAAAAATTGACACATATTTCTTTTATTATTTGCACACACATTCATTCATGTATGCCATAAACATTAGCCATATAAGTAGTGTAATTTTAATACACCCTCCTCGTGACTCGGGTGGGCCGGCGTAAGCTGAATGACCATTTAATCCCTGATGACCTCATTGAATTCTTCTATCTACGGCTCGTTACGGAGTTATAGTAGTAGCTTTTTACAGCCAAACTATATGAACTAAATTGACCGATGATCCCTGCTCATCGCGAGAGGGTGCAGAACAAAGCCATTAATTATTGTGTAAAACTTAAGAAAGTTGAAGAACAAAATAGACTTTAGAAAACTAATAAATAATAATGATTAAAAGTAATCTGTTGCTTCTAAAGTCAAAACATCTGCAAGTTAATAGAGAGATTTGCAGCACGAACCCAACATTTTGGACACGAACATTCGACCAAATTTCTATCTGGAAAAAACATATGATAAGTACGACTCATACAATGAAAACATTTTTTTTTTTTTTATAAATTTTTTCAATGGGGTCAGACGTTCACTGGGGCTGTGGGGTTAATAATTTCCGGGGTTGTTCACAGTTTGATTCCCTCCTTTAACTTTCACTATCCAACTATTCAGTTGTTAGTTGTTACAGGCAGGTAAGGTTCCCCAACCCCAGCCTCCCTCCTCTTCAAAAGGTTAAAGAGTCCGAAGAGATGGATGTAGCTACTATTTTTTTTTTTTTTTTAAAAAAAGGATTCAATTTCTTTAAGAAGCGTCTTCAAGATAAAAAGATACAAACAGCTTTTAACCATCAGATTGTGTTTGAATTGCAATTTTCTGAAACTTATACAAAAAAACATACTGCAGCGTCTTAATATATGTAAGGTAAAAAAAATGATTCCAGAAAATCCCTTTCAAACTAAGGCCGTCAAGGCAGGGGAGCCGGTGAGAGGTGGGGCTATGTTGGCCCGGCGGAAAAATTGTCAGAATAATTTGAGAAGTTGGTGGCGGTTGTTACTTGTAAGAACGTGCAGAAGAATGGAGGAATCCACGTTCGCTCACCGTAGTCCCTTGTCCTCTAGCATATGTATGTTTAATTATTAAGTATATATATATATATATATATATATATATATATATTTTTTTTTTTGGTTAGAAATTAAGTAGATTTATCATCATCATCATCATCATACAAAAGATACAAGCTCCCCAAGCATAGCATTAGCTATTCATCCACAATTTCGTACTCCCACGTGCCGAAGCTGGATAATAAGCCCAAAAAACCTAATGCAGCAGCTGCTTGCAATATGATTTCCTCTCTCGTATTTCTCGAGTTATTATGGTAACAAGAAGGAACCACCAAGTCTGAACTTATTCGGGCCAAAAGACGAAGTACAAGAAGAAGAATCAAAGGAACCTTCCCCACCACAACCTACCGTTAAAAGACACGCTATAAAGAGCATTTTCTCCCTTCCCCGCCACGCTTTAAAGGCCAAGGATGAGCAGGGAGAAGCCATCCCCCTAGAGGGAACTCTGGAGGGCTGGTGAAAAAGGCTATAGTGAATGAGCCTAGACAAGAGCAAGGTAACCGTGGAAGATTCTGCTAAATCAGCAGCAAAATTTGCAGGGGAGGCGATGGAGAAGACAGCAGACAAGGTCAAGACCACCCTCTTGTCCCGTGGAAGAGGTTACCTCAGGCTCGCATTCCCAATCCCCGGCTGAGCTCTGAGATGTCTAATGCTCTCTTATCAGCACATAGGCAGAGTGGAAATAATAGATTGAGACAGCTGAGGGGGGAATTGGCTCTTCGGATATAAAAGAGAGAGAGAGTCAGAGAGGCTTGTCCTTACTACACGATATCCCTCAATACCATCCAGTGTGAATACAATTCTTGACTTTGAATCCCACCATACAAAATCTTTCCCTTCGTATTTCATGCTATAATACAAGTTGCTCCACAACAACGTTAATTGAACTAAGTCGTAAAACATAATTGACCATCCAGAACTGACCAAATCAACCCAGACATAGAAGTAATACCCCTGTAAGAATGCCCATGCATGCCTTCTAATGTTGCGAAATTCTATCCAAATTAAATGCAACCGCAATATTGTCGGCAATCAAGATTAGGGAGTCTTACCAGCTACACCTGAGGCATACCGGAAAACAGCACACCATTGGGACCTGCTCACATACCGATAAGGTATTGCAGTGCTAGAGGTGTTTAAAGGGTTTTATGCCAAAACTAATTGGACGCATAGTGGAAGGCTATACGAATCTCACGTTTGACCATCGTACTTGTGCTTGAAGAATCCTAGAGGTGGAGGACACCTAATGGCGCTAATGCTCTACTTGCAACCTTTATAGTACAACAAAGTCAATACAGCGATTGAAAATAAGAAGAACCTTCCCAGGCGGAAAAATCAACAAAGACCAGAATCACCAATCAATTAGAATGAAGATCAACATCAACATAGCAGTGAAATAGCCAAGCGTCATACGTACTAAAAGTAACAAGTATGTAACAAATTATTTTTCAGCCAAATGCTCCACTGCAATACACATGTATCTTAAGGAGATACACAAAACCATAAACAAACAGAAAAATGGGTCTTCACTGCCACTGCTTCAAAGACACAGCCAATTGAGGACTTTGCTGAAGCTGTAGACAGAGGGCAGTACAAGGATTAGGTCACGCAGAAAGGGAAATGTTACACAAGCACATAGAGGTGGGTGACCCCAAGATCCATGAACCATTCATTACTAAAATGCAATGTAAGAGCATAAACAGCGAGTCACTGGCTTTCAGATTTACAAGTCAAGTTTTCTGCAAAGAGCTAGACTATTTCTTTACGTAAGAAGTTGCACCTCACAGGGCATGGACATAAAGAGGGAGCAAATCCAAAAGTAGCCAGAACACAACAAATGCATCAAGGTAAAAAAAGATGATGCAAATCTAAAAATAAGTTGAAGTACTGCAGATTATCCTGGAGAGTTGTTCAATAAGACAACAACATTGATGAACTCGGAAAAAGATGGGTAACAATTGATAGATAGAAATTTCTAAAACAGAATAAATAGTAGGTTACGTTGATTGTAGAGCTCAACACACAGATTTCTGTTCCAATACAACGATAGGGAACTCCAACCCAGATAAGTATTCATTCTCTTGTTAACTTACTTATTACTAAGTAGTAGATTAGATCCCACATAAAGATTCATAAATTCTGAAATACATCTTACACACTACTGTGATTTGCAGTTATAGGCTTAGGGCTGAGGTTAGTAGCAGCAGGAGAAAGCAGTTACCATAAGGGTAAAAAGATCGCTTGCTCACAGCAACTTTAAGGAAGTTCACATGACAAACCAAAAGTCAACATCTCCCTAGGGTTCGCACACAGCAAGCAAAATTTTCTTTTCTTTTCTTTTTTCTTTTTTTTTATTTAAGCACATACAGCAAGGAATTCAACATTAATTGCGGCAATCATCTTATCTTTTAAAACCGGGCAAGGGTGGGGAATGTGAAAAGTGATACTAGTATAAACATTATAGTGCACTTTTTATTTTACAAACAAACAAGGAAAATAGGTAAGGCATTTGGAAGAGTTTTAAGTAGAAACCTTTGTTTCTTTTTGGAAAAAAGGAAGGAAATGATGGGAAGAAAAGTCAATCAGTGGTGATCGGCGGCATGCTGCTTGTGCTCGAGGTGGCGACGCTCCTCGGGAAGAGCGACGAGATAGGAGAAGATCATCCCGCCAATGCAGACGTGATAGACGGGGTCGAAAGAACTGGTCTGGATGTACTTAGCGTGGTAGTTGTCGAGGCCCCTCTGGACGGCGTTCTTGAGGTAGTCCACCGTGAAATAGGGCTTCAGCTTCGCCGGGACTTCCTTCACCTTCAGTCCTTTCATCTCTCTGTAAGCGTTCCTCATCGCCATTTCTACTAAAATCTTCTTTCTTATTTGTTTCCGATTTGATTTCAGACTTCAAGATTTCCTCTCCAGATCCCCCAACCCTACAGTCCTCCTGACTCCTTCCTTTTACCCTTCGCCTTTATCGTGTCCCTTTTTATTTATTTATTTATTTATTTTTGGTATAATTGACCTGATTCGATGGAAATTTGGTTGGTGGTCTCTATTTAGTAGGCCCAGCGGGCCAATACATGCTCCTGAGTGTCCAACAAAGAGTCCATCAAACATGGGGCACTAGTTAGAAACATTAGAAAATATGTATTAAGGGTCTGTTTGATAAAATAAAAAATGCTTGAATTGAATTTTTTTAGATATTTCGATGTTTTGGGTGTTTGATAAATAAAAATTTATTTGCTTAACTTGTTTGTAATTTTTTAGTACAAGAATCTTAACTGAATGCTTAATTCTGATAAGAATCAACAGAATTACTTCAACTACCTTATCTTATTTACCATATCTACCATCATTTGTTAATTATGTTCAAAATTCTTGTCTAATTAAATAACCTAATATTCTCTATTCAAAATTATTATCTAATTAAACAATCTGATATTCTCTATCTAACGATTTTTTACTTCTCTGACTTTCACATTTTCTCCGTACTTCTCATATAATATATTTCATCTTTTATATTAATTTGATTTAAAAATAAACATTGTCATTTTCCTATCTAACAATTTTAAACTAATTAAATCATAGGTTCTATTTCTTTTTTGGATGAAAAGATATAAGGGCAAAATTGTACAATTTAACTTATTAAGCATTCAATGACAAATGTTTATCAAACAATATAAATAGTTTCAATATTAAAATTCAGACATTTATATATTTCTTTTCAGTACTTAAAATTCAACAAATTAATTTTTTCAATAATCAGATTTCAAAATTCAGATTCAGTTTATCAAACGGACCTTAAATTAACATTACCTTCCATATACTTGTTAACAACATTTGAGCAATAATAATAATAATAATAATATAGAAAGTAATCAAAATACTACTTGGTTGTATACCAAAAGCAAAGAATATAATAATATGAGCAAATAGCATAGGATTCAACCATATGGATTAGCAATCTTAAACTTTGTTTCCAAATTGGGAAAAAAAAGGAATTAAGAATGCATCCACATTTTATAATGGATTAAAATTTTTTAGATTGACAGTTCACACACTAGCGGTTATACAATGTTAATATGAATTTAAAGTTGAAGTTCCATTTACATTAATTCATTTTGTCAAAAGTTTAAGTGTGAGGTTTCTTTTGAAAAAGGAAGGAAAAAAAAATGAAAGAGTGTGGAGTGGGAAGAGGCCTCCAGGTCAGCCCTAACCGAAGAAGAAGAAGAAGGCGGCTGCCAAAGAACATACTGTTGAACCCCCCGCCCAGCCTCTCTTCCCCTTTCTCTCTCTATATATACACACACATTACACATATAATGCCAGAGAGAGAGAGAGAGGGGTCAGCAGTCACTAGACTACTCTCCCTCTAAACACTGGAATCACTTCCCTTTTCTCCATCCCTACATTACATCTTTTCTTTTTTCTTTTCTCTTTTTTAGTCCGAACAATTTACTTCTCCTACACATTTCTTGTTCTTTTACTCCGATAAATAAATAAAATGAGTTTAAAACTGCTATTGCCCGCCTCCCTCTCTCAAACCCTAATACTAATTCCAACCACCAAACCCGCCGCTCCTCCCCCTCACCTCTCCGATCCCCAACGCCTTGGCTGCTCGCCGCCATCATCGTCCAGCGTTCTGCCTCCCTTTGGCTCCGCGATGCCTCCTACTGGATCCTCCCCCCCCCCCCTCAATCCCATGCGCCGCGCCACTACGCCCTCGCCCTTCTCCTCCACAACCTCTCCAATTCCCTCTCCGACGACCAGGTTATGTCCTTCGCCACCTCTCGCGGTTGCCCTTCCTCCGCTTTCTACCTTCAACCGCTGGCCCCAAGGCATTTTTGCCTTCTACCAACCCCACCACCTTCTTTCTTCTTTCTCTACCCCCCTCCACTTCCCTTTTTTCGAACGGTTCTACGTTGGCATTTTCTTTTCAATGCTTATTAGATAGAGCTGTATTGATTCCCCCCCCCCGGGGATGAGTTAATGATTTTCCCAGCGTTCATCCCCCCCCCCTCTTTGTATGTAGACTAAGAGGCCAAATGATGTTCTTTATTGAGTTGAATGCCCGAAATATTTTTGGGTTTCGTGATTCTTCTCTGAATAGGAAGATCTGATGTCCCTCTCTCCCCATTGACTTGTGATATAACGACCTACGTTATGTGAATTTTCTGCTCTGCTCCGAGCTTAGATTTCTGAAAATCAATGCTTGGGGAGCTTATTCCCTTTATCAACGTTAAGCCTGCTATTTTTCGCTACCCTATGCCTGCTATTTATTGATCCTTCGTATGTTTGGTTTTCCTGTTTCTGTGAGTATTGTCTCTTGTACCTGTACAACTATTTCGGTATTGTATTATTAGTTGTTGAGCCCGCCAATGATGACTGTTAAAGGTTGAATCTGAAATGCTAGTTATAGTATTTGCTACGATACTGTTGATATTGTTTTGTACTAGGACGGTCTGAGGCATCGGCTCCTCCCCACCCTTTCCCCCCATTTTTCTCATTTCCTGTCTTCCCTGCGTCATGCCTGAAATTTTTTATTAAACTCTCCTGCACGTATTTTTTTCTGAATTTTCTTCAAGGCTTGGTTTTGGGGGACAAGGGGCACAGACGGTTGCAGGTGCAACCGTTTGTGCCGGTTGTATTCATTTTTCACAACGCGTAACTTCCATTGCACACGATGTAACTTACTTTGCACGACGTAATTTTACAACACTTTTTTGTGGATCCCACACATGGCGTGAAAATCGAGTTACATGTTGTAATTTGAGCCGCACAAATTTTTGAGGTCACATCGTGGCCGTGAACCTTCAGAAACGGTACCGTTCCTGCCCCATTTCCGGTTTTGGGGTCTATCATGTGTTGTCAAGTTGGCCAATTATGAACTCTGCAGTGCTCATCGTGAATGATGAGAACCTACACTAACAGTTATCCCTGTCTGATTCAATTTGATGTGTTCGTTTGATCTGACGCATGCGCTGCAGGCTAATGATTCCTTTTTTTCCTTCTTATTTATTCCCATTGGCTTTCTTTTACCTTAGTTCTCCTGATTTTGAAAAGGTTTTTACTGATCAACTGTGACATAGAAAAATGTAAATGATGTTGCACTTAAAAACAATTTCTTGTATGCCCCATAAGTTTACCTTCTTTGGTCTGCAATGTATGATATGTATCACTTTGTCTCCTTTATGTTTGGAACAAACGAGTAGCTTATGTCCTCAAACTTACCTAGGGTTACTACTTAGTTGGCATTACTGAGTGTTTGTGGCCGAGAGCTGCAGTTTTTGTGGATGAAGAGTTAAAACAATTCACAGTTATCCCTGTCTGAATTTTCTGAAGGAACCCTGTGACCTGACACAATAACAACTGCAGTTCCATAACAGGCATAATATTCTCAAATCTAAGCTCAAATTGTGAGCAGATGATTGTTAATGTTTAGTTTGCATGTCAATTAATTGCAGCACTACTTTTTTCACACACGAAGAATCCTTTTCATCCACTTTCTGGGTCCTTTTGTTTGCAGAGACTGTGGGAGCCTATGTTGCGAGCTTATGTAGTTGTGTAATGAACTGGGAGAGGAAGATAAGTGCATGTGTTCAAAGCAAAATCTTTTCATGGTTTGCTGGAGAGTTGAAACACATCCTGTTTATGCTTTAGAAAAGGCTCTTGGTGGGAAGAGCTGTTAATCTTTCCTATTGTAGGGCATCTCAGTAATGGCTTTTGACGGTATACTTTGCGTGGTACTCAGCTTGATTCTATTGTACTGATTCTAATAGAAGAGAAGCCGTAGAGATATCTAACTGTGCGTCTGGTTCTGAGGTTGAGGAGGGGTAAAGCACAATACACAATGGGGTGGATAAAGATTTTGCTTTTCAGTTCTGGATTAAAGGCAACATTAAGTCATGTTTGTTGATATACTAATTATTTTGTTTGAGTTTGGGGAGGCGGGTGGACTTTTTGAACGTCTGGTTCTTGCCAACAGTAAAGATGCTGTCAAGAGCTGGCAATTATCCACCTGTAAATATCTGAGAGTGGCAGTTTGCAACTTGCCGTAGGCTTATCTTTTGTCGGCAAGGACTATTCATGGACTTGTGCATATGAACTTGTGTTACTGCAGTTTACTGTCTTGTATTGTCAATACCCAGTGGAAACTATTTTCTGTATCATCATACTTGAATCCTAGAGAGGTGTTAGGGCTTGACAGCATTGGATGTGCGGCGAAGTTTATAACCTTGTACTGGTTTCTTGCATCCTTTGTTTGAATTAGATGTACAGATTGGATCTGACTATATTTTATTACATTATCTGCTTATCACTAATAAAAAGTTCCCAGTATCGCGCACAAAATTTTTATCTTGCATCCTCCAGCGACCCCTTTTTCTTTTTCTTCCATCCAAATGAAGGCATGTAACAATTCTATTTGAGATAACCAGAATTTTGATGATGTGTATGGAATGGAAAGAGTAAACGTACGTTTGAACAAGGTAAAACGTAAATTTGGACAAGGTAAATCTCGAGAAGTGTGTTAAAATCTCAAGCTTAAGGTTATAACATCACTGGTAGTTATATCATGGACTAATGGGGCTAACGTTGCCCTACATGCTACAACAATTGTACAGGTGATGAGCAGAACAGGCGTTGTACGGATGATTAGCAGAACAAGCAGAAGCAGACGGAGTAAATAGATGACTCCAAAATGCACAGAAAAACAAACAGAATTTGTCGTAGTCCATAAAAGATCCATATATTACACATGGGGCTATCCACTACGTTGGATTGATTACTTGATCTAAGGGTAAACAGTGCATGCGGATGTAGTTTTCACCACACTAGCCCCCCCTTCTTTCTTTTAAGCTCTTTCTTCAAGGCATTTCCAGGGAAGGGAATGAGGTAAATAGCAAATTTGCTCAAACAATCACAATCTCCTCAACTCAGACTAATTATGATTAGATAAGCTAAAGGTGCGAAGAAATGAACAATGCAATGTACCTAAAAAGGAGCACCACTTAGAAAATAGAGCTACAGTAATTTTTACCGGAAAATTTTTTTCCTTGCATTGCAAATTGTTTTTCAATCACTTTTTTATCTTTCTAACCACCTTTTTTCTTACATATATCACAAAACAGAAAGAGCTACAATAATTATTCTAATATTTTTTCCAAATAATCTTCTATCAAAGCACACTCTGATATTTCAAAATACCCTGAGACATGCACTGTAAACTTAACGTAAGAACAAACTGATTATCCCAAATACTGGGCTTTACAAGCCTTCCACAATGTTCTCATTGCTTTTGTGTGATTACCAGTTGTATTAACAACAAAACAAGGAAATAAAAGAAGATGATCAATTTGTAATTCCAACAGTGAAACAATGTTTGTGATTAAATGAGATTTCTTCTAGGAAAAAATAAAGCACGGGACCTGGGGACAGGAAAAATTTACATATTACGATTCAACATGAGGTTGGATTGGTACGTGTAATTTGTGCATCTGAGAGACCAGATGTGCCACTGCCACCACAAAACCCTCTGGCTTATGAAGTTCTGAATCCATAATAATGGGGAACCTGAAAAAGGCAGAAGGTTATTATGTTAATCCGTGAAAGACATGTTAGTCGCAATTCCTTCTGCCCGTCAATGAAGACAAAAGGATATTTTACTAACTTCTACAATATAGACATCTAATCTTACAAGCTGTTACCAAAACCAATAGGCAGGCACAAATTCTCACCTTAATAGAGGCCCAACATTCTTAGCTCGGTAATGTGGCTGGGATCAAGATCTGGGACATCTTTACTGGATTCTCGGTCTTCAACTATGTACTCCTGTCAAAACAACATCAGACATCATCACCATAAACTTGATGCTTTACAAAAGAACTACTTTAACCCACCAATTATATGAAAACAGAAAGGGTGGGGAAAAACCTACTGTCAAACACAACAGTGCTGTGAACTTAAGTTTGGAAGAAAAAAACTACATTTGTGTATGTAAAAAAATTACAACATAACGAGGCCTCCTTATTAGGATCATTGTTTCATCAAACAATCATCTTGTACCTTTGTCAATTCTTGTTTGGCAAGTACATGGTAGTGGCGTTCATTGATCCTCTGCCCACAAATTATAGCTATGAAGAAACCATAAAGCAGACCCACCAACACAACTGCCAAAACTGCAAAGTGAAATGAAAAATGCTAAGATGTATTACTGTTGTAATAGGAAGGGACAGAATCCTAACTAGCCTTGAAATAAAAGATGAGAATACAAGGGGTGATGTGCCTAGATTCTTCATTGCTAAAAGAAATAAGAAGAGATATTCCTATGATGATTACAAACCGTAAATAATCTGACAGTGTTAGTAAGGCCATATTGAGAGAGGGAAAAAAAATAAATAAAGAGCTGTAGTTTCTCTTTTAACTTCTGCAATAACAGCCAACGGTCTAAAAATCAACAAAATTAGACTTGTAACCACACATATCGCAGAAGAATGACCCCAAAGGGAAAGTTAATTCTCTAATATACATGCATCTAGTGCATCTGGAAACTAGTAACAAGGACCTTCACTTGCAAACCAAATTCAGGAAACTGGGATCACAACTGAATAAGTACTACATGAATAATTACGAAAATCACATTGGTAAACAGCACTAGTACTAGTTTCTTTCATGTGAGGTCCTAGTCCTTCTATCTATTTACTCTTCTTCCCCTACCCATACCACTGCATATTAGAGCATTTCTACCAACAGAGTCATTAGAAGAAACCTGAAACTGGTTCTAACATATGATCTGAAACTAGTTTGTTATTCGTATTTCTGCTATAGTACTACTTTCTTTCATTTGCGGTCCTAGTCCTTCTATCTATTTACTCTTCTTCCCCTACCCATACCATTGCATATTGGAGCACTTCTACCAATAGAGTAATTAGAAGAAACCTGAAACGGGTTCTACCATATGACACTGACTCAAGAAGTTGGATATTTTGAAATCAATGTTCAATGCACTTTGTGCATTAGTGTGGTGTAGTACCTTTCTCATGGAGTACGAGGTAGAAATCCCATTGCCCATGAGTCAATATAATAAGAAGGTTATCAAGAACAACAAATCACTTTGCTCATTTTCTTTTCTATCCTTTTCCAGCTTTTAAATGTCTTTTGTAGAAATATAAAAGGTGAGGAAGGTGATCTGTATCTCTTTTTCACCCGAGCCATATGACCAGGGCCGCTAAAACTGACTAGTTCTACAATTTTGCATTATTAGCAAGTCATAAGATAAATTTGTTGCAGCAACCAGAGACTTGTACATTATGCACAATTTCCACCTTCAAGGTTACATGTTGGAGAAAAGAGGTGGGAAAACAAGGTCTTCCCCCATGCTACTTGCTGCAAGTATCATGCCTCAAGGGCAGATCAGACACCAACATGCAACTTCATGTTTAAGTGTTTTCTTTCTAAACCATAACAGGTGAAAGCTTACACAGCTTCAAAGGAGCTGAAATTAATGTTCTGTCAGCTAGAGAATGGAGAAGATGACAAATGAAAACATGATAAAAATGATCTTCATGTTTCAAAAAACCTGTCATATGGGCAAATAGTTCATAAAATGTAACCACAAAGTTCTCGTAGTTTTGCAATTTAAAATTGATATGCCAATTACACTAAGGCATGGAACATCAAGAACTGGCTGGTGTTCATATGCATGTAGTAACTAAAAAACAGTTGATGTTCATAGGTGCGGAATGATTTTACCTGCCATGGTATAAAAACCGTAAGGATGTTCTTCATAACCAAACATTTCCCTCAGTTCCTCTCCATAAAATTTGTAGACCAGCACACCCAAAAATGCTACAATCTGCAGAGTTTCAATATATGCATGCTGAAAGTCCATAATTAAGTACCTCAAATAGACTCCCAAAAACTGGAACAGAAAGGCAGCTATAAGGAAATTAATTTTAAAACCTGCATGCAATTAAGCATCTTCGGAGAATTTAAGCATCAAGAACAACATTTTCAGTTGAGCAAGGTGCTTTACAGTCTTATCTCTCAATCCAGCCAATTATGAACCCATTAGTCTTTACTCATGTAACTCTTAACAAGCTAACTAATACCCAGTTAATCCATTAAAAGATTCATTCAGTAGGCAACATATCATGCCTTGTAGCAAGATTAGGAGAATAAAAAGGCTCTATTAGATTGGTGAAATTACCAATTTAATCCTACATACAGCATGGTGATTCCAGTTGGTAAGATCAAGAACTTGGAACAAGTTGCTCTAAGTTGCTGAACTTTCCCTTGATGGACAAGGTCACCAAGATTTTGCTTGGAGCTTCCAAGAAACCGACTAGAAATTTACTAAATCCCATTTCATTCTTGGTTGACAAATGAAAATTACAGGATATAAAAAATATAACATGAACAATTTTGGGATAGAAGGGAAGATATAAGATACATCTCATACATTCACCTAACATGCGCATGCAAACAAAATAATACAGTCGCACATGCAGACAAATATTTGTATATGATTATATAGACCCAAAGAGCAAAAAAAGAAAAAGAGAGGAAGAAGAGGTCGACTATATGAAACCAGGCACAGTCCGTATGGTTAAAACTTTACTCAGGATGTTTCACATTGATGGCTTGCTGATTTGAAGACCAATTTGGAATATTACAGCTCTTATAGCATAATAAGAAGAAATAAGGGAAAAAGAGAGGGTAATAAAAATCATGTCATACCAGCTGAACAATAACAAAAATGAAGGCATGGTCCCTAGCAACAAGGAACTGGAATTTCAACCTCAACCACCAGCGGTCAGGTGGAACATTTGCACGCAATATGAACACTGCCCTGCATTCTGTACAGTGTGAAAAGGCAAAGCCCTCCTGAATGTTGGAAGGCAAAAAATTTAGTGCAAAATCTCCAGATAAAAAAGATTAGCACTGAATCTCAGAACTCCTTAGAATGATACTCTAGTGCTCAAGAGGTTGCCACCCTGCCCTCCAACCCACCCATGCAGAGTCCTTTATTAATTATTGCTTTCACTATTTAATTAAGCCATTAATTAGGAAGTTACATTCCCTACCTCCCCCCACAAGGTGACAAATGCAGGACGAGCAGTGAGTTACAGCAACATGTTATGAGCTGTTGTGTCACATCCTAGGGCAAGATTTTTGATGAGTAGTGAGTTACAACATGTTACAGCCATTAATTAGATATGTATCATGGACAAGATTTTTTCCTTCTGCAGGAGTAAATAATTAACCAGTAGTCATAGTATTTATGACTCAAATTTAGAATAGTACCAAACAATTTTGTTAAGTAAAACAACAATACAATCAGGTTATGTTAATAATTGAACTTTGAGAAGATTCTTTATGGCTTTTAGAAGTCCATGCATAATGTGGAGAAGCAAGTGAAGAGTGTATTGCTGCACAACTCATTGATTTTATTAAATTTAAAGAGCATTACAAAAGATTCGTGTACTTATACGAGATCTATGTTTAGGATAGTCAATGTTGTTTCAAAATTTACCAGTAAGCATGGCATCCAGTCACAAGATAGGGCATCAGTAACATCAGGAAAGCTTGAGCAAACAACTTTGTCCTTATAAAAAGGACAAACATAGACATATCTCTCTTCATCATCAAGTTTATCCCACCATGAAGAGATGCCATTTCTAAAACGGCACCTGGTCCACTTTGTTTAGTGACTGTATGCAAATTTTCTCTGGGTTTGTAGAGTATTAAAAATGATAACAAGTCTTCAGATATTTTTCCTCTTAAATACACAATATTAACAAACTTGTAGTATGACATAGTTTAGCATATATGTGGCAGAGACAAGGAATATCATCAATTCTTTATCTAATCAGAGGTGACTAACAAAAAGGATGAACTACCATTATGTAAACACTACGCAAAATTCACCTTTGTTGATCTCCAGTTATCAAGACATGATCTGTGGACATACTTCTGTGTGCCTTTACAATGACATGGCGCAATCAGATCTTCTCCTGACAATCAATGCTGAATTCTGAGTAAAACCAGAACATCTAAATGTGTATCTCTAATTAATCAAAGAAAATAGTCCTCAGTCATTTTGCCATATACACCTATTGGTGATTAGAAAGGTAAATGCATCAGCATGATAGGTAAATGCACCCAACAAGGCAAAAGGAACATTGAGGTATAAATACAGACACCTCCAGTATCAAGACATATACGGCAAAGTGGTTGGTCTGCATGTACTAAACAACAGTTTTCATCTGCATCACCACTTGGTGAATCATCGACTGTTAGAGAAAATTCTCCGCTGACAGTGATTTCAATTGAAGATGAAGACTCCTCAGATCTCTCGGCAGTAGCGGACTGAGATAAAATCGGCTCTGTTTCCAAAATATCCTCTGCCCGACTGTCATTTGACACTAATTGCATTGCGGAAACTGTTGAATGCAAATTAGATCATAAAATTCATACCCAAAGATAGCACTTGTAAAGATCATTTCAGAAGAAACCCCAATTCCTGCAGACAAGATGAATAATTGCAATATCAGGAGAAAATATCCAGAGTTGATATATGTGAAGCTACATGAATAACTTTTGCAAGAAAGTCTATTCTTGTCATTACTCATCTTCCAATACAAAGTTATCTTATCCAGTGCCCCAATAGCAGAAACGTTACAAGTACATATTCTATCTTGACAAGTTCATATATCCTAGTTGCTCATCTAGAGGTTAAGGTCACTAATCAAAGTCATAAATGGAAATAACTGCTGTTGATGCATATAATAGTAATGTATTAATGTCTTAGGAAGACATACTGCAAAAAGGAGGAAAGTAAATGCATTTTCACCATTTTTCAGCCTCATAAAAAGAAGTATTTACAGCAATCATGGTAACAAAGAAAAAACAACAACGGAATCATTAATCAATGAGATATCCACTAATAATACTGCATCCATTAGTTTGACACTAACTAGTTAGCTCCTATAAATATTTTCATTTTCTGCAATCTACCCAGTCATAAGAGTTAAGAAAGTCCAAAAAAATATTTTAACTCCAGGAAACTTATTTATTCATCTTTCACTCTGGCCAATTTTGTACCACTCAAATTCTACAGCCACCAAACAACACACAAGGAAACTAGGAGTGACAAAGAAGCATAAAACCAATATTCTACCACAACATCATCAAGGTATTAAGAGCTTTTAGTTCCAGTAAAAATAGCCCATAATCTCAGCTACCAACATGTTATGACATCTTAGAGTAATGACATTAGATTGAGAATTATTCAATTCGGTATCTGTTTGATCTGTCTACGCTTCCTCCTCTGCAATTTCTTAATAAAAACCAAGAGAAAAAAGATAAGATATCCATCCTAGCCAGGGTTAAATCTTGTTAAGGCCAGAAGCACAACTACGGGCGAGAGGCACAATACAAAGATCTGTCTGGATGTATTATGCTGATCTGATACATAAGATAAAGTGTTTAAAGGCTGCATACCATTGTTTTCAAAATTTTTGACTCAAGAATATGCTTGTGATTTGTCTGATCGTTTCATCAAATAGGAGTGTGAGCAATAAATTACGTATACTGGACAAAAGCACGTCAAATTTGGGGTCCAACAACGTCCAAGTTCCATGCTTATCATCATTCAAATATTTACATTCTAAAAGAAATTACATTCGTGTACATATCTCTGTGAATGACAATTTGATTAGATACAAAACAAACACGAGGATGATGGCACGCGCCATGCGGGAATAAAGCAAGGTATTAATCCCATAAGTGTTGATGGCATTGTTGAACAGTTGATTCTTGGAGACTAGTAGACATAGGATGTATCATATTTACTTTACAATGGAAAAGCATTTGCCATTTACGATGGAGATTTGGTCAAAGAATTGAAACAACATAATGATAGGGACAAAAATACAAGTAGGAGGAGGAGGAGGAAATTAAGTGAGGTGGATTAGTAGAACAGTAGTGCTAGTCGTCCCAGTTGGGTAGTGTAGTGCGAAGCAGAAGCAGAAAGGGGGGTGAACTGGGTACTGCTTAAATGATCAAACTTAAAGAGATCAGGGCAAGGAAAGGATGCAAGAGTGAGCAAAGCAATAAAGAAAACGGGCAAAGCTATAATCTTTTTGACCGACTGAGAGACAACAACGAGAATTTGCAGGAATTAATCAATCCATACGAGCAACTTAATCAATGTTAATAGATTAAGAAACGGACAACAAGAATCATTAGAAGGAAAAAAAATTTAAAAAAAAAAAAAGAGACGGTGAAATGAGGAGGAATTACCTGCAATTAAGCAATGGGAGAAGAGGGATCCTGGGGAGATTGGAAAAAAGACAGATAAAGAAATTGGAAAGAAAATGGAATTAGAATTCGCAAAGACTTGTTGGTCGGTAGGGAATTGATTTTCAGTTTTTTCGTTTTTTTTTTAGAAAAACTCTTATTGCGAGAGTCGCAGGGTGGACCGACGTCGCAAATGGAGGAGGAGGCAGTAGAAGTAGTTGAAGGCCAGGCAACACAACACTGTTTTGAATAATCAATTGTTTAAAACCCAGAAACAGGAAGGAGGACTGGAGGAGGAGTAGTGTGGATGGTGATGATGAATTATTGATTCAGGATTGCTGGGCGGGCGGAATGGACAGAAGGCATCGTCACCGGTCAGACCTGGAATCGGAAGTCCACATGTGATCTTCCTCCCTTTTGGATCTTTTTTTTTTTTTTAAATTAAATTAACGAGGAGGGAACTCGTACGAGTTGGAAGCATAAGTAGGGAGAAATGCAAATTGGTCCCCAATATTTAACTTACACACTAATTTTGGTGCATAATATTTCGATCAAAACGAATGTGACCCCAAAGTTTCAGCTTTTAGCTAAATCAGAGACAATCACTAGCAGTCAAAATCAAATTGCTGTTAGTCAATAGTTCTGACTTTTCACTTTTGATCCCCTGATGTTTTTTAGCTTGAATTCTTACGATTCTTTGAGCCTCAAATAATGATGTATTGAAGGTCATACGATAAAAATGAGAAAAAGATTAGATCAAAATTATATTGGATGTGCACTAAGGGTGCATTTGATAAAATCAAAATCTGAAATATAAGTCTATTGAGTTATTAAATTATTAAATACTAAAATCTTTAACATTTGAGTGTATTTTGTATTAAGTTATAATTGAACAGTTTATCATTTAATTTTGAGAATAAAAAACATGAAAAAGCTTATTAAACTTTTTTCCCTTCTTTTTTTATATTTTTATTTCATTTTGTTTATGTCACTAATTTCTTATATCTTTTCTTCTTATTTGCATATTTGGTCTCTAATTTGGCATAATATATTTACTTATTGTTTTGCACTGTAGTAATTTATTTATAATGAGTTTTATCATTTTTCACTTGTGTCGAGAATTTATACTGTCTGTTATAAATTCATTTATAAGATATGTGTTGTATGTATTATATGTAAATTAAGATAAGTTTGATCCCTTTTTTTTTTTTTGGGCGCTTCGATAGGTTATCTACTATGATATGCACGAAATAGGTGTCTTGTTAAAATTAATAGAATATTCAACAAATTTATCAATATATATGAACATTTTATTTTACCCCTCCTCACACTCTACTCAAGACCAATTGTCATGTATGAAATTTATATCTTAACAGCAACAAAGACTTTAAAAGTCCTTCTCTTGGTGATTGCGTCGATCCCAGTGGTTGCATATGAACATTAAAGGCATTATTTAAAAAACTTCATTATTAAATTTTAATAGAAAGGAAACACAATAAGAATGAAACAACAAAAGAAGATTAGTAATTATCTTCACTAATTATTTTGATTACATGTCCTTGTAGTCATTTGAAACCTGCTACAAGGACAAGTCATGCACGACGTTGTCTAATAGTGATTTGACTAAAGTCATCTGTTAAAATTAGTATTGTATTTTGTTTTCAACTAATTCTCATGCTATATATCGTCTAAGATTGTTATTTTGATATAATTCATTAAAAAAAAGGCGCTCTTTAAATTAAATTACAGTGTTATGTTGATATAAATAATTTTAACAATATTTTATAGGGATCTGGGAACATAATTGTCACAGAAGTAATTCAATTCACAATTCATTTTATTTAAAACCATAACTATATATATTTAAAATCTAAGAAATCATATTGATAGAAACTCCAGATGTTAGAGATCACAAATACAAGTTAGAATTGTATACTAATGGCAATATGATTTTGATAGTTACCTATCATGATTTTTTGTTAATTGTCATGAATTTGTCTAAAATCAAAAGATTCAAGTACTACTTTTGTTTTGATCAAAATGTTAAGGATCAATTTAGCACATAAACCAAATATGGGGGACCAAGACTGCGTTTCTCCCTAAATTACTATAATAAAATTATTTGTTATCTCTATTTCATCACCTCAATCCGATTGAATTACCTACACCAGTACATTCCTCTAGAATTAGTATCAATAGTAGTATTTATCTATCAAGTCAATGCTCCAATTTAACTTCTTATTCAATTCAAGAACTTTACTAAACCCACCTATCAACTTTAATATTACCCTTTTAAATTTAATTAACTTTTTATTTTTCTTTTTAGAATGTACATGTATAGAATTTAAAAGGGCTATGTTGTTTTTGAACTTGATTATATCAATAGTGAGATAATTTCATGTAAATCTACAAATGGTCTCCAAAAATAGGAATAGGAACAAAAGATAGGAGGATCTTGTGTCTCTCTATATTCTATTGATTTCTTCAAATTGATCTATTATTGACTAATCATTAATAATAAGTGAGATAATTTGTTTTCAATTTAAATTACATAGGAAGGAGAAAAAACATTTAAGACTAAGGCGAATTGCGAATTTTTATGAAAAAAATTTGTTGGCACATTTTTTTTTATTTTATATACATCATACTAAGCATATTTTGCCAAAAATAAAAAAATTTTAAAAACTTCAAATCTAAACGAGGCAAAAAGCTTTTAAAATTGACCTCCAAGAAGTATAGAAAATTTTCAACTAATGTGGGGACTGATTTAGATATTTGCCCATTTTATTGGCTTCAAGCAAAATCCAACGACTGAAGATGTCCTTTTGGACTGCAAAAAGGGAAGTAACGCTGTCGTTTACGCCGGGGGATTGGGCCAATTCAATAGTCTCTCTCTATTTATTGGTTTTTTTTTGTTTTTTAAATCACCCAAAGTGGAGTTGGGGTTGGGGGGACCCGTTATTTCCATGGCTGGCATAGAAGGAATTGCAGCGGTGGGAGGAGCTGGAATTGGAAGTGGAAGTGGAATAGGGGGAGGAGGAGGAGGTGTCTCAGTCTCAGAGGCTTCCCAGCAGCAGCAGCAGCAGCAAGGGACTTCAAGAGTGGCGGTGGTGGAGAGGCTGAACCCAGCAGTTCAACAGCAGCTAAACCTAGACTCCGTCAGGACTCGCGCCATCAGCCTCTTCAAAGCCATCTCTCGCATCCTCGACGATTTCGACGCCATTGCTCGCACCAATGCTGTTCCTAAATGGTCTTATTACTCTCCACCCATAATCTCTTCAATCTTTCCTTTTTCCCCCTCTTGTTCCCATACGTATGGATACCAATCTGATTAATTTTTATTCTTCTTTTTTATGCGTGGATTCCAACCAGGCAAGATATATTGGGGCAATTTTCTATGGTTAATTTGGAACTCTTCAATATTGTCGAGGACATTAAGAAGGTTTCCAAGGCTTTTGTCGTCCATCCCAAGAATGTCAATGCTGAAAATGCTGCGAGTACTAACCTACCTATCTCCTCACTGCTGTTTGTTTGCTTTTCGCTTATCTTTCTCAGTTTTAACTACACCCACACCCTGCTACTTCAAATTCTTAACCATCAAAAAAAAAAAAAAATTCCATCTTTGTAATTTCCCAACATTCAAACGTCTCCTTTTGCTTGCTTTCCCTGCAGTTCTACCTGTTATGCTGTCATCAAAATTACTGCCAGAGATGGAAATGGAAGACAATTCCAAGAGAGAGCAGCTGTTACTTGGCATGCAAAACCTTCCCCTCTCCTTGCAAATTGACAAATTAAAGGTCCGACTAATCATCATTATTATTTTTTGCTTAAACATTTCCCACGCTTATATCTTACACCCATATGTTCTGGACTCCTTTTTCCCCCCCTTCTTCTGGTTCATAGAATAGAATTGATATGATTGGCGCTGCGTGTGAAAGCGCTGAGAAGGTCATAGCTGATACCCGCAAAGCCTACTTTGGTACTAGGCAGGGTCCTACACTTCTTCCAACCATAGACAAGGTTCAAGCTGCCAAAATTCAAGAGCAAGAAAATTTACTTCGGCATGCTGTCAATCATGGTGAAGGTGTTATTCTTACCTTGAATTGCTTTCCATGATAAGCTACTGAGACTTTTTATTTTTTCCCCCCAACTAGTTAAAATTACACCAATTGCTATAGAGTATTGATGATCTTTTGTGTGTGTTTTTTTTAAGTATACTTGATTCCAATACAGGTCTCTAGATAGTGAATTCTGTTTAGTTGATGTGACATAGGTTTTTTATATAGATACAGTATCATCAATTATGAAGCGCAAAATGAGAGTAAACATTCTGGGTCTGCTTTCTCTTGTTTCTCAATGACTGAAATCCCTCATATTGTTTCCAAAACAAGGTTGAGGCTTTAGGAGGGGAGAAGGTTGTAACTGTAGTAATAACATAACTTTATTATTGAGGAGGAGGAAAAAATGAGCGAGTAACAGAAAATTTTGGAAGCAAATGAAATTAATACCCTAGAAAAATAAAAAATTCACTCTGAGTTGATGATTGTGCCTTTAATTCAAATGGTTCTTGTGAAGAAAATAAACTGGGCAAATTGTATTATTTGTTTTTGAGAAGCAAGAACAGATAAAATCATCACTCAGTGCTGTTCTGCACAGCAGTTAAAGTTATATAACTTTGACAAGTTTGCTCTCGGGGAAACCCCTTTGAGCTTTTGAAACTCCTTGACAGTTGAATTCCTAAATGCAAGCTGAAACAGCTTGTCAGAATTGGTATATGCTGGTCTTAAGAATTGATGGAAGTGGTCTGTGTGCAGGGTTGCGGATACCCGTAGAGCAAAGACAGATTACATCTTCACTCCCAGTGCATTTGGTAGATATACTTGGTGATGGTGCCCAGACTTTTACAGATTCATCTGGTATAGTCTATTAGTTTCTCCACAGCATGCCTCTCAAAATTTATTTATCAAAATTTTTGGAGTAACCAATAATCTGACCTTCGTTTTAGGAATGTACATGAAAAGTACACCTCCCCTAGCATCAAGCAACACTAGCAGTCAGGGAGCCATGTTACAGGTTTATACTATCAATTTCTTCAAATTTAACTTCCTCCACATCCCAGGAGGATTTTGAATTTCTTACTGCCTGACATGCCTTTTTTAGCTCATCTGAATAATCTATTATCAGTTTGCATTTAATTTCATCAAATTGTTTTTTGGAATTGGGTTGCTATAATCTCATTCTCGAATTTTTTTGTTTTGAGTTCTTTTTGAAGTTCTGGTCTTCTTTTATTTCTCCTCATATTTAATTAAATTTAGGCTGTCCCAGCTTGAATATAAAACGTAACTTTTCCCTTCTGCTTAACTGGCTCTTGGTCCTGATGAGATGATCTTTAGAATAGGCTTCTGGAGCACCACATATGGGAAGGGCAGCAGCTTCTCCTAGTGCTGCTAGTAGTACCTCTTTTGACCATACAACAACGTCTCCACTGCCGTATGCCAATTCCCCGAGGTCTGGTGCAAGCATGATGAATACTCCATCTCCTCAGCAACAGTCACACCAGCAACAGCAGCAGCAGCAGCAGCAGCAGCAAAGGCAGAAAATGATGCAATTGCCACAGCATCAGCAGCAACTTCTCGCTCAACAGCAGTTTAGGCAGTCATCATTGCCTGGACTAGGGCAGGTAGAATGTCTAGAATCTGCTTAAGTGATTTCGTTGGTTGAGTAATGAAATTACACTAAACAGAGCAAATCCATCATTGCAGACTTAGTACTTCAATGGCAAAGCGAGATTTAACTTAAAAAGACTTCTGCTGGTGCATGACCAAAAAAATATTTTTTTCCTTAACCTTTTTCTTTGATATTTACATTCTTTTTCTTTCGGCTTTCTCCACTGACCCAGAGGGCAAATAAAAATGATGAGAAGTAAGACAAAGCATCCCTCTTGAGAACCTATGATACTCTGTACATTGGATATATTATATCCCTCTTCTTTCCTTCATCTCCCATGAGCTGTTGTTTCAGTTTATATTTTTCAATTGACCTCTGCTGAAGTGTAATATACAACTCTTCAAGTGGCTGAGTTGGCTGATGCAAAACTTTTTCCATTTTTCTCCATCTAGCTGAAATTTTCTTTTGTCAAACTGAATATGGTCTGTACAGAATCAACAAGGGCAGCTGCATGATCTTCAGGGCCAGTCGCAACAAAAATTCCAGGCGGTAATTGCAAACCTATTTTACCTTCCCCCTCCCCCTTCTCTTTATACCTCAGTTTCACGTCTTTCTTATTTGCTTTTCCTTTTCTATTTTCTGTCACTGGACTCCCCTCCTAAGGTAATTTGGCATCATGAATTATTCATGTAGTTCTCTTCCCTGTGCACCAGTTTGTTTTTCATTGCTCCACAAGTGCTTGTTTATATTGTATGACGTACTTGAAAATGAATACGTGCCAAGGCATGCTATGCCTTCCTGGGAATTCCATCTATCAGAGTTCCTTCACATGACAGTATCACCAATCAGCTGGTCATGCTATGCATGACTAGATGGATCTTGGATCTGGTTCTGAGAACTTCTCTATCCTGGTTTTCTCTTATGTGTCTTTTGAGACTTCCAGTGTCCCATGTGCAAATGAGGATGTTGAAGTTATGATGTCATGTTCATTCTGCTGCTTCCCTCTATGCTACTGCTAGTAGTTCAAGTCCTGTTAAATTCCATAAATATCCATGTTCTGGTTTGTCATCATTGCTTGTAGCAAATTGAGCATCTTTTAGTTGTTATATAAGGGAACATCTAGTCTGCAACTTGAAAGAATCTCCCACAAACTTGACTAATATTTGTCCATTGCAAATGGAATGCATACTTTTCTTTTCAATCCCTTCTCGAATAAACTTTAATTTAATTCAATAGAAACATTAAACTTTTGGCTATTTCTACCTTTTGAATACTTCACACACACACACAAGAAGAAGGAAAAAAAGCTAGTGGCCCAACTCCCTGTTTCTAAGTTAGTTAATAGGGAGTTCGACCACTTATATTTTTCACTTTCCCATTAAATCATTTTGTATCCTCAACTCTTCCCTTACATCTTGCCTAGTCAATCTATGACATTCAATTTGGGATGGGGAGTAGCATTAAGTTGTGTCAGGTCTGTCATATTAGTTAGTAGATGGATTGCTTATTCAAGGACTTATGCTGAAGGAATTCTGGGACCATTGAGTTGTAAGTTTGGAGGAGTTCTTAATAAGTGATCGCTTTGTACATTGTGTGTATGGGTCATGTTGATGCCATAACTCTGAAGTTTTACTTTGCTGTAACTTAGCCTGAATGATAAATAAATAAGTCTTAACAATTCATGCCTCTTCATTTCTGTGGTTTTGTAATTCACATTGATTAGTTTTTGTATTATAGCTCTCTCTTCAATATGAATGGGATGACTTAAAACATTTAAAATGCTCTCTCTTTCTCTTTTAGTGGAGAGGCATTATATTATAGTAGTCATTGTTGTACCAGAAATTCTGTTGTTCACATATTTTATCAATAAGAATGTCTCTGCCTTTTCCAGTTACACGGCCAACATCAGATGCAATTCTCTCAGCCACTGGGGGCCCAGCAATTTCAGGGAAGGCAGCTGACATCTGGGGCCATTCAGCATGGTCTGGGTCAAAGCCAACTCAATCAAGGAAGCCAACTGAATCGTCATTTAAACCAGTTTTCTAACCCTGCAAATACTGCATTATTTAGTGCCGCTCAGAATACACCAACTACCCAGATGGTTAGACAATTAGTTTGTTTTCCTTTCAATGCTTAACAGATCTGTTGATTGACCTTTTAAGTCAATTAAAAACACTAGGTTTTTGTCCCTTGTTGTTTGATGCTTTTATAGAGATCTCTATTGGATATATCTAATCAATACTTCCGGTTGCACCTTGTTGTCTTACTTCTCTTGACATACAGATATTAAATACTCAACTCCTAGGAACTCTCTCTTTTTGTCTAGTCCCTGTGAGCATTTATATGGATTTAAACTTCATAATTCCTTACCAATGAGCATAACTTTGGCTTTTGTCTGACAAAAATTTGGTCCTAAGAAGGTAGTTCTGGTTCCCAAATTAGTTCCTTATGATACTTCCTTCTGAGAGTCAATGATGTCGTTAGGCATTCGTACCTAGTTTCTCATTTGGTGTTTGCTCATGGATAGGTTTACTAATAGCCTTAATATTTAACCTCATCTGTTTCTTCCCTTGGTTGTTCAGAATTCTTATTTTGAAATTTACCTACTCACCTTTGGTCTTCACTAGCCAATTAACTGCAAGTTGACTATCTTCTTTTTAAACTATGGTTCTGAAACTCTCCTTCTATTTTGTGTTCCTTTTGTTTGAGTTATTTTGAAAGTCTTTCAATATTGATAAGGTTGTGTATAGGTCAGTCTCTCATACTTTTCAGTTCAATGTCAGATTCCAAACATGTCAGCGATGATGCCATCTCAACCACTTATGCCCAGAATGCAGGTTAGCTTTGCAATTCAATCTGCTGTTCTTATTGCCCTCTTTTCTAGCTTATTGAGAATGATATTGAATGGAGCTTTCTTGGGAGGAGAAGCAAATTTGAACATGATGGTGCTGCTTTGCTTCACAAAGTTGAGGCATGTTTTAAGGGTGAATTAGCTTCCAGTTTTTTTTAGTTTTTGGACAGTCTTAAATTCTCAATATAATACCTTATGTGCAAAGTGATGCAGATGTAACCTGAATTTGAGAATTGTACCTCAGACGTCGTCAAGTTCATCTCCTAATTGACCAAAATACCAAACACCCTGATGTTAGAATCTAGGGCTGATATAAATGAAAAGGTGAAATGGTGGTGCAGATGAACAAAAACTGTTGTTTTGACTTGACAAAGATATTCAAGTTTTCGGACATGATTGTGTGGTATGCCTTTGTAATGTTTGAGAATGACAGTGGAACTGATTAAAAAATTTTAGTGCTGGTCAACAGTTAGCTGTTTTCCGTTTCACATGTTTCAACCAACAGTTAGTTCTTTTTAGTTCTGAGGTAAAATTGCAATCTTCATCGAATCAAAAGGAGGGGTCTAGTTTATACAGTTGAACTTGTTTAAGTTGTCATGATCTTTTACAGCAGTGTTCAACTTGGTTGAAGAAATTCTGTCATCCTTATGAATGTTTTATTACTGGATGTATCTTTAACTGGCAATTATGTCATGAAATGCTCTTACAGTAACTTTGCTGCTTTCAGTTTGGAATGTCTGGTGGCAGTCGGACTCTTACTTCACAAAACCTCAGTGACCAAAGTATGGAATTTGCTGTTTTTCTTGCGCGTACTGTTTTTCGTTTTTTAAGCTTTTGTCATGCCTAATTTTGTGCTATCTAGAATGAGGATGACATATAGACCTTCGTCTAGTTTTTTCTAGTTGGAATTGTAAGCATGCATGTCAACTGTGAGCGGCGGCCTAAAACAAAAATGGGGACCTCTTTGCAGTGTTTGGCATGGGAACTACCAATCCTGGAAGTATGATGCCCATCCAGCAACAGCAGCAACAGCATGGTTCACAAGGTGCTTTTGGAAACATGCAACAGAACATGCAGAATCTACAACCTGGAATGGTGCCTCTCCAGAATACACCGCAAAATCATCCCAATTTTCAACAACAAAGACCGCAAAACCAACAGTGATATTAGTTTATACTTGAAAATTCTTGTTCTAATTAAAATTTTGTTGGATGACTTTCATAGCATAAGACGTGTACAATGATGCTGCATATCAGCATCAAAGTTCTGTATCACATGTATTGACAATTCCAGCATGAAATGGTAAATTTTTTTTATTTTTTTTTGGGGTTTCGGAGATGAATAATGGCAGGGCCCAAGCATCATGCTATATCAGTTTTATGGGAGCTCAGGAAAATAAGACGTAAGATATGAAGCTTGAGGTACACACAATGAATTTGATGAAGAAAAATGGCAAATCGGTTAGAGTTAAATTTCAGTTTGCATGAACAAGATAGATAGTTTTGCTACAATGATTCAAGTGGCATGTCAGAAAGCAGCGTATACGCCTTGCATAAAAGACCTGGCGTTAGAATTGAATGCAGCATTTCAAGCTTGGGGATGTTAAAACTTGAGTGGGAAGTCAGAGACACAAGGAACAATGACTGCAACATTTGAGCACCAACCATTCTAACCTGCGTTATACAAATTGGCAGATGAGCTAACTGAATGGAAAACGACGAGTTTGGTTCTGTATAAAAAAAAAATGAGAAGTGCCTCCTAGTTCTGCAAACGGGGAAAGATTATTGAAAAGTTGGAATGTCAACTTTTACTGGACGGGGAAAAGGGAAGGGAGGTAGTTTTTGAGAGTGATCAGTTGATGACTTAATTCAGTTTATGAAGCAATGAGGATGGGAGATGGAAAGCTTACAAGTCTTTGAGACACGAGCTTTTAGAATCGTGCCCTGGGTGGGCCTGGTAATCCAAGGAAAAAGCCAACGGAGCTGCTGCAGCTGGCTGCAGCAATGGATCAGACGGGTTTGTGTGTAGGAGGGTGAGGCTTTCAAAGGATGAATGGGTGGAGAGAGGGGGTGAAAAGGGCGGCGTTGGAGTGGGAGATGAAGAGAAGCAGTACTTGTGATGACCAGGTCCTACACTGATTGGGAGAGGGGTTGGTGGAGTTGGCGGAGATGATGATGATGATGGATCAGAATAACATGGCTGGGTGGTGGTGCTGCTGCCCATTTTTATTCCTCCTCCTCCTTTTCCTTTGCAACAAACTAAAGAAGATACTACCTTAATCTTGATAATACAGAGTTAATACATTATTGAGAGATGATAGAAGTTTTGTTTTTGCAACGGAGAAGCAAGGATGCGATGTTGGGGGGGGGGGGACTGGGAGATGTGAACTGCAGGTATGACCAAACGGTCACACAGGCAATAGCAGCCAGCCAGGCCAACCATTCCAAACCAACAACTTAACTGGTGGGAGTGTTAAGTTTTGACTGTTCAAAACTTGATAGTGTAATTCAATTCACCAGTACTACTTTCTTCCCTTTAGTTTAGGGGCCGCAAAGAAAAGACCGTCCCTGATTCTATGGAAAAATCGTCTCTTCTTTATTTGTGATTATCCTCATGAAGCAATTGCCTCCCTTCCTTTCCTGGTCTTGGCTCGGCTACTAACTAAGAGGAAGGGAACTTTTAATAAAAAAAACACACGCACACTGTACTATCCATCCATCCATCCATCCATCAAAGCTTTGAGAAAACGGAGTTATGATGCTATGTCTACAAGAAGAATTAAAGTTTTAGACAAACTTCCAAAAAACTCACGTTCCAAACCTTTTGATGCATGAATGAATATATAAATAAATACCCAATTTGAGGTGCAAGTCGCAATATGGACGTGGTAACTAAGGTGGGGCTGGGGCCTTGCCTTTGTGCTAAGTGAAGCCTCACATTGGGGGTCTGTACCTTGATGAGTTGTGGGCTAATAGTAACTAAAGCTGGACAGCGGCAGAAACGAGTGAGCAGAAAAGGCCCAACAAAAGGAAGGGAAGCAATGCCAGAAAGACGGAGGATTGAGTTCAGGGAGGCCAGACAGCGGGTGACATGAGGCTATTCTAGTCTTGTCCCTCTGAGTCTTCTCAGTCTAGTAGCACAAACTACAAAGCATCTGCTCATCTCTCTCTGTCTCAGCTTTGTGATTTCTTCGTGGACTCTTTGGGGGTCAACCGAAAAAAAAAAAATATATAGAGTGGATTTGAGAGAAGCAAGCAGCTCTTATTTCTTTCTTTCTTCTTCTTAGTTAGTACTTAGTACTGTTGATTCTCTCATATGTTTTTTTTTTCTAATCAATAATCAATAATCAATAATCAATCAGACTCCAGAATACGTAGGAGAACAAGAAAGAAAGAAGTGCCCTCTGTCCTCTCTGAGAGTGCAAAAGTAGTAGGCAGTTTTGAGAGAGAGAGAGAGAGAGAAGAAGAAAGAAATGGGGGAGAATATGGCGCACTCACCCTTGGTCACCTATGTCTCCGTGCTCTCTTTACTTAGTCTCTGCCCTCCCTTCGTTATTCTCCTGTAAGTTCCCAAACCTTCTCTCTCATTTCTTTACTGTCAAATCTACATCTTCCCTTTCTCTCTTCATCTTTTTATCGACCTATGTACATCAAATCTCCCTTCGCTTTCTCTATGCAATAGATAGGATGCAATTGGGATTTGGGACTTGTGTTTTGCTTTACTTTTGTTAATATACATATAAAGATTTATTGATCTTTATCAGAATTCGTAGATTCTTTTTGACATCTTCGACTATCAGTATGACTTGCTCCTCCTTTTTAAGCATGTGATAACAGACTACATAACCATTGCCATTTATCGAGAATAATGCAGATGTGCAAGACTGGTTTAATCCATATGTTCTTACCTTACCCTCTTTACTTACCTGTTCCCGGAATTTCTTCCTTTTGCTTCGCTTGCTTCATGTTGTTTGTACCCTTCGTTTCGAGTATTCCCCCACTCAAACGTATGCTATTTCATATATTTGTACATTTAACTACCGCAGATGGTACACCATGGTACATGCGGACGGATCTGTATTGCAAACTGCCAATTACTTGAGAGACCATGGCATCCAGGGCCTCCTTCAGATTTGGCCCAAACCCACTACGACTGCTTGGAAGATCATTGCTTTTTATGCTGCATTTGAGGCTGCACTTCAGCTGTTTTTACCTGGCAAAAGGGTCGAGGGTCCAACTTCTCCTGCTGGTAATAGGCCTGTCTATAAGGTACTACCGGCATTTTTTGGACTTTCTATACTTAGGGGTGCTTTCTTTTGTTTATTTCGTTTCACCTTATTTAGATTCTGATTTTGCAAAATCAGCTTTTTCTTTTTTAATAAAAAAATGTTCTCCTTTGCTTTTGGACCTAGATTTTTCACTAAGGAAAAAAAAGCTAAAATCTGAATTCTACTCAAGAGTAGCTTGTGCTGATTCTGATTAATTAGCTTTTTTTGTAAAATCTACAACAACCGAGAAGAGGCCCTTGCTCCTGTACTTTTTATCACATGCTTTGTTTTGCAAAATAATTGACTGCCGATTGTGACTTGCTCTATACTACGCACTAACATTTCAGCTTTATCTAGTTGACTAGTTTAGTCTGCTCAAATATTATTCTTCACTTGCAGGCAAATGGCTTGCAAGCTTTTGCTGTCACATTGGTTACATATCTCGGCCTTTGGTGGTAAGGTTTTTCTTCTTCTGGTGTATTGAAATGAATCAGTTGCTCTCACTATTTGCTATTTTATGTTTCTTTTGTTTTTCTTCTTTTTCCTTCTCCATTCAACAAATGGCAACTTATGAATGAACAGTAACTGTTTTGCTTCTACATTTACCTCTTTATTGATCCTCAGGTTTGGGATATTCAACCCTGTAATTGTCTATGACCATCTTGGAGAAATATTTTCGGCTCTCATCTTTGGAAGTTTAATCTTTTGCTTGTTTTTGTACATCAAAGTGGGTACTGCAATCATGCTAAGCATTTTTTGATTATTCTTTATATAGACATATTTACATTTTTCTGATTCATGGTTCATGTGTTGAAGGGTCATGTTGCTCCGTCTTCTACTGATTCTGGATCATCAGGGAACATCATAATCGACTTCTATTGGGTGAGCATCTTTAAAAATTGATCATTTTTGTGGTTAATAATCTAATTGATCTTACCCATTCAATGAACTTTTCCTTGGCATTGTGGGCAGTGACCTATTTATTGTTCATGTTTGTTGTATACGCCTTGTGTAATAATAATGTGCATTCCACAAGGACAAAACACCGCCCTTCCCCACACCCCACCTAAAAGGAAAAAGCAAATAAACAAAAAAAAATGTGCAACTTTCAATCTTCTCAATGGAGTGTCAAATGATGTGATATTTGAGCAACCACATTCAAAGTTGAGAATGTTGCAGGGAATGGAGCTCTATCCTCGCATTGGCAGGAACTTTGATATAAAAGTCTTTACAAACTGCAGATTTGGAATGATGTCCTGGGCAGTTCTTTCTCTTACATACTGCATAAAGCAGGTATTTCTCTAGCATTTACTGCCAAATATTATTAATGGACTTTGGCTATCTATTGGTGATTCTTACTTCTTCTAATGTCTCTTGGACTTTTACAATCAGCATTCTTCCATCTGCCAAAGAAGATACATGAAACACCTCGTACTTCCTGGTTGCTAAGGGACAGGGACCCCATTGGGTTCTCAATATGCCACCTAAAACTAAGAAATGCCCTGTATTTTATTTGTTTTGAACCTTTTGATCTGTGGCCACCCATATGTTTTGTGAAAATTGATGTTGTCAGTTTAACAACCAAATCGAAGCATCTGAAGTTTCAAAGTTGTTTGTTTTGGTTAATCGGTTCTAATTATGTCTCTGTACCTTCCAGTATGAAACTTACGGGAGGGTTGCTGATTCTATGCTTGTCAACACTACATTAATGTTGGTGTATGTTACCAAGTTTTTCTGGTGGGAAGCTGGATACTGGAATACAATGGATATTGCACACGATAGAGGTTTGTAGCTCCACCTTTTCAATTTTGTATTTTCTGGCTTCTATTCTTGATGCCTTTTCTTTAGTTTGTATCTTAACTGTGTTTTCTCCTCCGCCTATTGCTATTGATGATCAAGTCACTCTTTTGGCAATTCCATTGTGTTGTGGCAGCTGGTTTTTATATTTGCTGGGGATGCTTGGTGTGGGTCCCGTCAGTATATACTTCCCCTGGCATGTACCTAGTCAATCATCCCGTCAATCTTGGTGTTCAGGTACTATTGCTTCAAAAGAATGTTGCATGCTGTTAAGTATGATGTGTATTCAATTGGGTGATAAATTGATTTTTTCAATTTAGCTGTAGTGGTGGTATTGTTTAGCTTCAAATTTGGCCCTTTGCTTTTTGTGCATAACGTTGCAATGGAGCTTCCATGATAGACAAAGCATCCAAGTTCCTGGATGTTAGGTCCGTAGACAAATGGTAACAAAATTCAGAAAAACAGAGTGCTGATGTTAATAATTAGTAAATAATAATCCGCTTATGTTTCTTGTTGTCTTATATATTTCTCACAAGGATGATTTTTCTTTTTTCTTTTTTTTTACCCTGTCAGCTTGCTCTTTATATCCTTGTAGCTGGCATTCTTTGCATATATATCAACTATGACTGCGACAGGCAAAGACAAGAATTTCGTAGAACAAATGGCAAGTGCTTGGTTTGGGGGAAAGCTCCATCTAAGGTATGATGCATTCCATCGAGGAGTCCTGAGATTAGTAGACTTTCTGTTTACCATGTCTGCTATTGCTGTCATGTAATTTTTCCTGGCTGGGGTTAAAACTTCGTTTGGTTTGTATCACCTTCAGATTGTTGCCTCGTACACTACAACTTCGGGCGAGACAAAAACCAGCCTTTTACTAACATCAGGATGGTAAGTTATTTCTGCTTGGCCTGGGGTTAACCTTCCAATTCTGTTCATGCTGAGCTTGGTTGATATTTGTTTAAAGATGAACATAATTTTGTTTTGTTTCAAGGTGACGAACGATCAAATGTAATTCTTCATTAAGAAATTATGATAAGTTTAATTTCCCAGCTTGTGATGTGGTGGTCTGCGTTTCTTTGATCTGTGTGAGCGTGGTGGAGTATACCGGAACACTGAAATCTGGATGGACCTTGGCCGGTATCTTAGGTGAAATGACTTTGGACTTCCTCTGATATTGTTAGTTGCTGTTTGTGCAGGTGGGGCTTATCTCGTCATTTCCATTATGTACCAGAAATATTAGCAGCTTTTTTCTGGACTGTGCCTGCTCTGTTTAGTCATGTAAGCAAGTGCGACAGACATAAGAAGTTGTAGTGCTTGAGATTCTTTTTTTTTTTTTTTCTTCGCTCCAAAAGAAGATTTACAAGGTCCTACCAGTATTTGGGTGTCAGGATCTTTTACAGTAAACTTCATAACCCTGCTCTCTTTTTTTTTTTTTCTCTTCTTCTGCAGTTTCTTCCTTACTTCTATGTAGTGTTTCTGACAATCCTTCTCTTTGACCGAGCCAAAAGGGATGACGATCGATGCAGATCAAAGTAAGCTAAGATGAAATCTCTCTCTCTCTCTCTCTCTCTCTCTGTGTCTTTTGGTCCATGGGAAGTCTGTTTAATGTGTAGGACACAGAAATCTTTCGCAGATCAAATACAACTTTTTTGGCTTTGAACTAGTTCTTGTGCTTTTTTGAGGTCGTGCATGGAAAATTCAGTCCGTGTCCTCAATGAGTAGTAATATTACAGATGGGGGTGGTTTTGTTGCATGCATGCAGAATTAGGAATATTACGCTGAGTATTGAGTGTGGTGGATGGTGTGCAGGTATGGGAAATACTGGAAGCTATATTGTGAGAAGGTACCGTACCGGATTGTTCCCGGACTCTACTGAGTGAGGAGGTTCTCTCTCTCTCTCTCTCGCAGCCGGTCGGTCGGTGGGTGGCGTCTCATCAAATTGAAGCTGTAATATTATTATATATACAGTATTGAAGATGGATGTTTGTCAACGCATTTTCAAGTGTTTATCTGGGGGCAGAAGGAAGTGGTGGTTGTACTTTGTTCTGTTCTGTTCTGTTCGGGGGTTCACACCAATCAGCACATTGGTAATTACTAACTAATAAGAAATGTTTTGGAGGGAGGCACATTTTATTTTTTATATAATTAATTAGGGACTACTTCTACTTTGTCAGTAGTTGCACATTTATTAGTACTACTATATAATAATATACTGCCGGGGACCAGACTCACCCCATAGTTTTTTTTGATAACCCAAAAAAAAAAGACAGAGAGCAGTATCTGTTGTTATTAATCAAACTGTTTGAATATGCAGAAGATAATAAACAAACCATAATAATAATAATTTAAAAAAAAAAATACCAAAAGAAGCGAAACTGTTGTGAGTGTGAGTGATGTTTGGAAGCGAAAACCAATTAGCAAAAATAGTAGCAAACGCACTACTGTACCAATTGTGAATTAACGGTCCCAACATCTGGGCTTTCCTTCATGTTTTCGTGGATTACTAAAGGGAAAGCAGCCCAGCCCACTGCGAGTCCTGTCCTCAATTAAAAAGCTACCTAACCTACTAGTTTGGTGTGTTTCGCTTCCGACTCAAACTACAGATCGCCCCCGCCGTCACCGCTATCCACCACTCTTCCTTTTGTCCGACCGTTCCCCCCTCCTTTTGTCCGCCGTCTCAATTCCATGCAATTCAATTCGGGTATCTCGTATATTTTAGGGTTCTCTCCTCTTTTTTCCTTTTTCTTCTTTTACTTTTGATCTTTGGATCTCCTCCCCGCAAATGAAACTGATCTATTGATTGATTGTGTGGTGTTGGCGTTTGCTGTCATAACTGAAAGCTATCAATTATTGGTTGGTTTCTTTGTGTTTTTTTTTGGTTAGCTTAAATTGTATTGCTGTTGGATATTCCAAAATAATAAAAATATTATTATTATTTAAAAAAAAAAAAAAAAAAGAGCAAGGAAGAAGGAATTATGTCTTCTGCGTATGAGAATGTGGTCGGAGGAAAGCTGAAACTGAAGGGAAAGGCCCTAGATGTGAAGGCTGCTTCTGGGATAAGGAAGAAGAAGAATAAGAAGAACAAGCAGCTGGAGAATGACAACAAGAATCATCAATTGACTGAACATTTCGACGACGACCATGAGGCCGCCGCTGCCGCCAAGGATAATGACCTGCTTTCAGCTGGTTAGTTACTACCCCTTCCCTCCTATTTTTGTGCCTTGTCAAACTCAAGATGCTAGCATCTCTTATTCACTTCATTTTGTTGGTCCGGAATCTGAAGTTCAACTTCTCCGGGTATTTTAGCTTACCGTCGCTATAGCCGCCCTTGCTATATAGCCGCCCTTGCTACTTGCTAGTCTCTTCTGTCCTCTCCATGGTAGTAATCATCCTAACCTGGCATTGGGTTGGTTTTGATGAGGCTGGCAAAAGGACCTTTCTAGTCATGGTAAAAGGCTGTAGAAAAGTTTTTCGTATGTTCGTTTGGATTCCTTAGGAGGTGCTTTCGTATCAGTAACCTCTTTTTTTTCAATTGCCTTTTACTCTCATAAAAAAAAAACCTTTTTTCCTTCACTTTGCACACTGCTCTGTGCTGTGTAACTAACTTACCCCCTGCAAATTATGCAGGGTGCTGTGGGAAACTATAGGAAAACTCTCTGTAAAACCTACTACTTTCCTATCAGATGGACACTCACAAAGAAAAAATTATTTAGGGATTCATCTTCCTTTCCACTTTCCAACACTTTTGCCTTCCAACCAAACACCATGTCATGTTAGCGTGCAAAAAATGACTGCAACTTTCCTAGGCCTGACTGCTTGCTTAACGCATCAATACTCCGTGCAATGTATATGCACGGAAGAAGCATATTGTGCTTGCTGGTGTCATTCATCTAACACACAGTTCTATTCTGGACAGACAAGAATCGCAACTTTTATTCTCAGTCACAGGAAGAGCAGCTGCCCTCCGCTGCTCAGTCTTGGGATTAGTCATAGATTTTCATGATTAGACAGCAAAAATATAGGATTTCAAACATTATTGAAGAACGAAGCAGCCACATGGTTGGTATCCTACTAGTATAATAACTAATGAGGATCCATTGGCTTGTGGGAAGTTTGCTATGAAGATATGATGATCATGATCATGAAACTGTCTGGGGCTTTTCCCCCCTTAAAATATTTTTCAGTTTCTCCACAAAAAAAATGGCTCCATTAGTTCTGAAAACAGTCTCTTCCTTGATTCAGGTGGAAGTACTGAAGAATTAACTGATCCCAGCCAAGAAGAAGAAGTTGGTGATGCTAGCAAATCTGCAGGAGAAAATGTTGCTCGTTGGGATGATCATCTTACCCCAGCTGAGAGACGTTATGTCGAGCAAAGGGCTAAAATTGACATGCGTAGATTGGCCAAGACAGCTAATAAATCACACCGTGACCGAATTCAGGACTTCAATCAGTATCTAGCTAATATGAGCGAGCACTATGACATCCCTAAAGTTGGACCTGGTTGAGTACAGCAGCAGACTAATATAAGAGCTGAAAATACCATGTAGTGATAATCTTGCTTGTGAAACAATTGTCTGAAAACGAATGTTTCTTAGTTCGAGCTTCTTAATATGAAAACTCTCGCCTTCATCTTGCTTTCCGTGGCAGAATACCTTTTTCTCACAGTTATCCTGAACTAGTATTCTTCAACTCTGACAACAATGTCCGGTCATTATTTCCTGATGGTTTCCAATTTTGATAAAGCCTGCGTTCTGATCTGTAACTTGACTGTTGGCCGTGCATTTGGAATTTTTGAATTTTGATTACTTATAATTAATTTGCAGTGGATACTGATTAACTGTTTGAGCATGTATATGAGCGAGCGAGCGAGTTTTTACGAGTCTTCGCCTTCCACCTTGTCTGTTTGTCGCTGGAAGGTCGGACGGTAACTAATTTGTGGTTGCAGCAGATGTACGTTCTTTCATCACACACCCTGCAGATTTCAAGATTTGGAAATTTCCTTCAACAAGAGTAATACACCATGAATCTCGCTGGAAGAAAGGGAAACAAAAAGAAAGAAAAGAATGATGATGTCATTTGGATTAGTGCGTGGCGGGAAACACGCTTTTGAGTTGCATTAGCATGTAGCAAAGTGACAATCAAAATACGTTACAACCCAACTAACAGAAGGAATTGAATGAGCCGAATTTAGACAAATTTTGTGCAAACCCTTTTTTTGATGGCACCGCTGCTTCATTAAACATCTATCTCTCTTGGTTGTACAACAAGGTACTGGAAATGCCGTGTGTACTGAAAAACTTTTGAGAATTGAGCACCTCAAACATAATCTACACAGGATGCAATCGTTAGCTGCAGGCAGACGTGTCATATCTAATTTGTACAAAATACTTTTCCGTATTCTCCTGCATCTCACAGCAAATATTGCCCCGCCAAACCCTAGTTACCCTACCAAGGCATTTTGATAGTTCAATGTTGCCATGTACGTTTCTGTCTTCTAAAGAATTATTATAAGAACTGATAGCCATCGAAAAGTGAAAAACAGCAAAAATTGTGGAAAACGAACTTCAACCCAGCTTCGAGTCCGCAATCATTTTTATGTTACATGGCTTTTATTTGAACTGGTAAGAGATAAATATGGTTACAGACTGCTTATTTTGACTTGTAACTGACAAATCAACTGGCCAATATTTATACCTAAACCGATATCCTCAAAACAAAAATAGAAGCCAATGAAAAGCACAGAAATATCGAGTGAAATACAATATAGGCTAGACGAACCAATAGCGTATGGGCCAAACAGAGGGCTGACCAGGAACACAATATATCTAATAACACTCCTCCATTGCTTAAGAAGGGCTTAGCACACCTGACCCGGAATTGAAAACATAGCAACATGGTTGATCGCTAAAACACTTTGTGCTGATGTACAGATCATCGCATTTCGTCCTCAAGGTTCCGGAAACCAGCAGTTAAATCATCACGGAGTTTCTTAAACTTTGCAATCAGAGCTTCCTCTCCTTCAGCTGGATCCTCAAATTTCTGAGACCTGCATTGTTATGAGGAAACATCATATACAAGAAACAGAAGGGACATATATTAGAACCAGAAGATTTCCAGATAATTGTTTAATGAATGCCATTCATTAAAAATTTACTTACACTAAACGGTAGAATAGATCACCCAGCCGATGCTTAATAAGGGTGTAAGTAATCTTCTGGCCATCCATGCCTGCTGCTCGTTCCACCGCCTGTAACAAGAAGGTTACATGTTCAAAATCCAGATCACTACCCAGATCATATACTTTTGATAAAAGGTGTAAAGCACCAAAATCAGCCCAACACATAAGCTCACTCAACTGACTCAAGTTAAACCCAAAAACCATAGATGAGGAATGCTGTATGTGGTACTAAATTAGGACAACTCACGGGAATAACTACTCAAAAAAAATGGCCAACCCTTATTTGACAAAGTGCAGCAAAAAGCAAACAAAAAGTGAAAGCTGTTGACTCAGAAATTATACAGCTTATGAACCTTAAACTTTGTTTTTAGATGTATAGTAATTAACAGAAAACAGGAGTTGGGAAAATAAAAAATAAAACATAAAGAGAGTCTCTGAGAGGAAAGAGTGTAGCAAGCTTCAAAAAAATTATCAATTAAAAGAGCAAGGACAAAGCAAGAAATGGTGCCATATACTTTACCTGATTAGCCAGACTATAGAAATGAATTATGTTGCGCATCATCCATACAGACTTGTAGAAAGGACAGAACTTATCATATCTGTCACCAAAGTTGCAAGATATTGATTAACGCCAAAAGATTAAACCAATTAAATTGACGTGCCAATAGATAGGGACATACGGAGTAAATGCATTCTGTGCAAGGTAGTCCTCCCTCAAAAGCTTTGCTGTCTCCAACGTAATTTTATCTGTTTCAGCCAAAGCATCCTTTCCAACAAGCTGTACAAAAATGCTGAGGCTAAATAACAGCCATACAAGACAAAGCCTATTAAGTCATTTAGTTCCTCCTATTCTTATTTAATTAATTTTGTTCTGCACATATTAACTTGGACAATATGCATATCCTCCCCCATTAATTATCTCTTGCAAAAGAAAACATCCAATGGCAGTGAGATTAGGATATCTTTGACTATAACAATTGATGATGATCTATAAAGGAAAATGCTAGCAGAAAGGATGCCAAGACTTCACCATACAATTTGCCATGCTTCATACCAGGATCAGCTCAAAGCCCAAACACAAAACGTGAGAGAGAGAGAGAGATGAAACAATAAGCAGCGCGTAAATTAGACTATTTGCTCTTTGATTGGACAATGTTGTGTGCCTTGTACAAAAATCTTATCCTCTTACTTTGATCCCTTGAGAACACAAAGTACAGAAAAAATGCTATTCCTTCCAAATTTTATCTCAAGGTGGGTGAAACCAACAAATCACATACCTGCACAATTTCATTCAAGTCATCCTCCCTTTGCAGCACCTCACGAGCTTTAGTCCTGATGTCAATAAAATCCGAATCGAACTTCTCGTAGAAGGACTCCAGTGCCTGGGAACACAGTCAGAGAGCATCAGCATTTTGATCATGAGTAGAAAGATAACAAAAGTAGGCAAAATGCACAATTCAAGGCAGACTTAAATATGTTGAGAACACACCCCTGAGTACTTCGAGTACGATATAAGCCAATTGACAGAAGGGAAATGCTTTCTTTGGGCCAATTTCTTGTCGAGACCCCAGAAAACCTGACCAATGACAAATTTATACAACAGCATAGTTAAAAAAGAAGGATTATTCTTTATGAATATATAGAAGTAGTAGTTCTGTAAACAGTTCACCTGGACAATGCTGAGGGTAGCAGATGTGACAGGATCTGAGAAGTCTCCTCCTGGAGGAGAAACAGCACCAACAATCGTCACACTCCCAGTTCTTTCTGGGCCACCAAGGCATTTAACTTTTCCAGCACGCTCATAGAAGGATGCCAAACGAGCTGCTAGATAAGCAGGATATCCACTATCCGCAGGCATTTCTGCCTATAATGGACAAAAAGTACAGGTCAGCACAAAGTAGACTCTAAACATACGTCTGACCATTCATATTACCAACATTGCCCATTCTGTTGATATGGAGTGACGAATTTGCACGTATGGCAAACATAATTTAAATAACTTATTACAGACTTGACAAGGAATTCCATCAAATTCAAACTAGAAACACAAAATTCAGAGCTAAAGTTTTCAAACTGTTCAACAACTGAGCACCAAAAAGATGGGACCAAAAAGTAGTTCATCTAACAATAACAATTTTTACATCAACAAATTTAAGAACCAGTCAACTAATAGCAATAAAACTCCCAGGAACTATTTTAGATTAGGGGAAAAATTATTATGGTCACATAGATTAAAAATGGAGAGAGAGCGCTAAAATGTAACATTTAAGACTTATGCGGTCTGACGAGTGGGAACTATCACAAGTGAAACTATCCTTGCCTTAAGATAGATGCACTACGATCCCAGTTCAGGAAAGGTATCTTCTAACCTCAACATTCCATTAAAATAAATTGAAGTTAAAAATGCCCTTCCAGTCCAAATATAACAAGCTAAACTAAATTTTCCTCTGAGGAGGTCAAAGACTTTCCAGTTGTAAATATTTTAACCCCTCTCCATCTCAAAAGGTTTGAGCATGTCATGAATAAGTAAAGAATCAGGATGACAAGATGAACGATTAATCTCATTCTCTGCGCACAAATCATTGCAGAAGTTGCTTAAGAAGGGGAATGGAGAAACACGTGGAGGCAAATTGCTGATATGATGTAATGTCACACTTGATGCTTTTAATACAAGCAAATACGGTTATAATGACTACCTCAATAACAAGGTAATTTAAGCTATTACATTATGATCTTTAAAATCACGCGAAGACACAAATACCAATTCTGACATCACCTTATACAGCACTGAAAGATATTGCAGGAAAGCAAGTATGAAAAGTGAATTGCATAGAAGTTTTTACAAATGAACTACATGCCATAGCAGAACCAGGATGGAAACAATTACCAGACGCCCAGAAATCTCACGCAATGCTTCAGCCCAACGGGATGTTGAATCTGCCATCATACTGACATTGTACCCCATATCTCTGAAATACTCAGCTATAGTGATCCCTGCAAATTGACATTTATAAAATTTGAGGAATTGACAAAGATAAGGGACATTTATTGTGCTTTACAGCAAGAGGCATTAAAAAAATATGCAGAGGGTCAAAGCAACAAAGAGTAACAGCATCCTATTGAAAGCATGGCCCACTTACCCTTCAGCACCTGGAACACAACCAGGTTAACAAGCTAACATGCTACCTTACTTCGGAGGAAAAATGACTAACACAAAAAGCAACTAATCCATAAAATGACTACCATTGACTCTAATATACTGCACTTTGAACCTTCCATTTTCAATGAAATGGATTTTGTGCTTCCTGGAAGTACTACTTTTAACTTTTTTTGGGAGTTGGAATTGACAATAGAACATTTAGTGACCAATTTACCTGTATAAATTGATGCCTCACGAGCTGCCACTGGCATATTTGATGTGTTCGCCACAAGTGTAGTACGTTTCATGACAGATTCCTCACGACCATCCGGCAGCGTCATTGTCAATTGAGGGAAATCCATAAGCACCTGGATTTGGGAATTTTCATTCAAATAAATTCAGAAATAAAATAGAATGATGAACCCAGCAAGCATGAATTACAGATACCCGTACAGCCATACCTCTGCCATTTCATTTCCTCTTTCCCCACAACCAACATAAACAACAGTGTCGGAGTTAGAGTACTGCATCCATAAGTAACCAGAAAATAGAAGAATCAAAATTAGCTTACTACTTTCCCAGAACAAAGTCAGCTTACTAATTGCACAAATTTTTCTAGCATCCTCCATTCCCTACATCATAATGGGAAATTCCAATATATAACTCCAGAAGATTACCTTGGAAAGGGCCTGACTAATGACTGTTTTTCCACAGCCAAATGCACCAGGAATGGCACAAGTACCACCCAGCACTGAGGGGAACAGGGCATCAAGAACTCTCTGACACAACAGAATGCTATTTAGAAACAGCAGATTTGCTAGGACTTGCAAACAAATGAACAGTGTGAAAATATGATTTATTTGACAGATCAACTACCTGCCCTGTAAGAAGAGGAGTATCAGCAGCAAGCTTTTCAGCAACAGGTCTAGGTGTTCGCACAGGCCAAGTCTGCAGTTTCCCAAGAAACAATTGTCAGATGCTTTTTTCATAGTGCAACAAACATCACATATAACCCAAAAATTATCTATAAACTGGAATGTGTGCCAACCTGGAGCATGGTATATTGCTTTTTGACTCCTTGAAACTCAAGCTCAAGAACAGTATCCTGCATGTTGATGAAAACACTCAGTGCAAGAAGTCAACAAACAAAATGGATCACAATGGATTATATTGACCTCAGGCCTGAGAGTATTGATGCTAACAAGTAGGTTCGGATGCATGACTTATGAAAATATACAGCATATTTTCATATTTTCAACAGTAATAGACAGAGTAATGCTCCCTCATCCCATTCTTAAACCATGCTTTGCTTTTTTGTCTGACCCAAAATTCTGGCATTGCCCATAGCAGTAGATGCATTTTCCAGCCATTTACAATTTATCCCTCAGGTAAAGGTTTATCTCCCTTCTTGTTAGGACACCATAAAACCTCATTGTCTATGAATTGCAATTTTTCAACATCATACAATCATCTACAAGCGTTAACCGTGTTAGCCAAAAAAGTTTTTGGAGATGTCTTTACACAGAGTTCCCATTACGTTATACTATTACACAAGATTCAAGCAATCGGCAAAGCTTAACCTAGAAAGCAAGGACAATATTTGAAGGTTGAAACTTAAAATGTAAAACAAGTTCCACTATTCTTCCCAGAAGAACAACCAACATTAGAGCCAGCAATAAATTACAAATCTCTGCTTTTCAACACAAGAAAACAACACGTCAACTAGCAAATACTTGCTCCAAACCAATCCAGAAAATGACAAAAAAAAAAAAAAAAGGTTTTCAAACATACCTGGTAGATAAAGAGACATTATGTCACAATCTAATGATAAACCTTACTAAGCACTTCCTTCACAATTCCAACTAGTTAATTACATACTTTCATTGTCTAAGAGTTTTTTCAATCAAAACTAAATGCCTCTCCAGTTCTAAGGAAGACAGAATGCCAAAATGACAACTTCAAAGCATGATCTAATCACAATCACAGGATGGTTGATACTGTGGCAAAATACAGGCAGTAATATACTAACAAATAATTAAAGTTGATGATCCAAAGAATGCATTACATGTCCTTTTGAACCAAAAGTTAGCGTCTGTGTCTTGTACTAAGTCTGAGGAGAAAATAGGAGGCACATCAACTCAAGAATGCAAATGCATAAGCTGTTGGACACAGTGCTTTTGAATACTATTCGCAGTACTCCACTCATGCAATTAACCGGATGATGTTAGCATAATAATGGACTTGATTGAACAAACCTTCAACGAGTATTGACCAGCTGGTGCAATATAGGTTATCTTTCCCATAGCATCAGGAGGAAGAGCAACATGATGTTGCATCAAAGTGTTTTCGAAGACAGTCTACACACAAGATTGATCAAGCAGTAAGTCAAGTTAAAATACAATGGATGCTTATAGAACGGTTGTCCATTCCAAGCTTAAATAAGTCATTTCATACTTACAGCATACAAGTCTCCATTTGTTAAAAGATCCCCCTCACCTGCCATGAAATGATGATACATTGACAAGAATCACAATTTGTCTCTCTCAGTCACATTAAGGTATAAACCATTACAATGCAGCCTAAATATCTAAACTAAAATACTCTAAGCATACCTATTTTCTTAGGTTCAAAATCCCAAAGTGTGTCTTTGTCAAGTGCTGGCACAGACACGCCACGAGGAATATATACATCACCAGACTTTAGCGCAATGGCCTTCAAAGGCCTCTGGATGGAGTAATTAAAGGATGAAAAGGGATTATCATCTGAAACTAATCTAAGAAAGCTTCTACATGAACTTCATGAGCTCTTAGATTTAAGAGGGAAAACAATGATCCACAGACCTGAATACCATCAAAGATGTTGCCTAATATTCCAGGTCCAAGTTCAACAGATAGGGGCTGTAAAAGAAATCAAGAATTCCACAAAAGAATGTTTAAAAGAATTCACATTTGAACAATAGCTATAATGTTTAATAGACAATTTCCTCAAAAGAGAAAAAAAAAAAAAAAGAATAACACAGAGAATAATGTAAGTAACAACCTTGTGCGTCCGTAAGACAGGATCATTCACCATCAACCCAGCTGTTTCCTCGTACACTGCAACAGAGACATACAAAGATCTTATTGTAAATATCAAGCTCCTAAGTTCATTCCATAAAACACTGAAAAATAGCAGGAACCATCTTATTTCTTCTTTTTAAAATTTTTCTTTTTCTGGTTTCAAAAATAGAAGTAAGACATTTACAATTTTGCCCTGTAAATACAAGCCAAAGTTTAGGTATAGAGGGAAGATTCACCCTCAAAAAGGAGAGAGAACTCCCAGGAAATGATAAACTACCTTGTATTGTGGCAGAATCTCCTTCCAAACGGATAATTTCCCCAATAAGATTGTCATGTCCAACACGAACCAGTTCATACATAGCAGCCCCAGCCATTCCATCTGCTACGACCACTGGTCCTGATACCTATTCAGGAAAAACAAATGCAAAAGAGCATTACCATCAGTTGTCAGTAAAAGTTTCCCCTATTCTGGTAGCTTTGACTTTGTTACAGAAAAAAAAAAGAGATTACCAAACAAGAATACAAAAAGGAACTCATTTTTTAACATCTTAGCACCAGATAGAACATGGATGCTGTTCAATGAAAATGCAGAAAGCATCCACACTCTAAGTAGTAGGAAAGCCAACAATATGCAGTAACGAATTTCAATCTGCTGAAATGCCATTGAATGCTTCCTAGCATTTAGAGCAGACATAAGACAGTGAAAAAAGGAAAGGGTAGGTAACACCCCAAAAAAAAATGGAGGAAGTTGAGTAAGTAAAACTGATCTGCGCTACAGAAACTAATACATATGGAAACTAACAGTTTGAATCCTAATTGACCTCCAACAATTGAACGAGCAAGACAGAAGTAAGATGAACAAATTTAGACATTTCTCGGAGCTATCCGAAAAGCAGCTGCTGCCAGTATTCTGATGCCAACATAGCCGATCAGTATTCTGATTGCAGATACCGACAATAGCATTTAAAACCGAGCAAAAGACAGAAATGCCACTTTACAACAGAGAAATAAACCAAATACAATTAGATCAGAGTCTCAGAGCACAGAATCGGAAACGACAAGTAAATATCGTAGCAAGCGATGCGCATAAACAAGTTAAAATAATGGCTTTCAGAATAAAGAGCATGGAAAGATGGAGCCAGAAATAACTACTCAGTATCTAATGGAATATATACAGGGAAAATCAAATTCTCCCAGTATACAAATGTATACGCTATTCCGCTGAGGAGATTGAGAAATTGGATCCTATTGAGCTTGTCAGAAAATATAAGAGAAGACAAAACAAAAAAATAGAAGTAGTAGTAGAAGAGGAAATAGATTGAAGGAAGATGAAGGGGACCTTGCGGACGTAACCGTACTCGCTCTCCTTCTCGGCATCTTCGAAGGTTGTGAGAGGTCCTCCGTACAACGACGGCATCTTTCTGTCTGGCAGATCGGAGACGGAGAAAGTATGCTCGTGTCTCTAGGTGTTTATGAAATCTTATGTGTAGAATTGTGCGAGTGAAAGATACGTGACTGAGGTGAATCTCGCTCCCAAGATCCGATCGGCGATGGAACTCCAACCGATATCTTCCGATTTGGGGTGTAAAAAAAATGAGGAGCGAAAGTTTTTTTTCCCTTTTTTTTTGGACGGGGGTTGGGGGAAGGAGGGGTTTGGTTGGCAATGTTTCTGTGGTGCCTCACAGATGCGAAAGGACCAAAACTGACAGTAATCAATTGAATTGAGGTTTTTGCAAAAAAAAAAAAAAAAAAAAATTGAATTGAGGTGATAGACGACTGATGACACTTGGAAAAAATTACTCCAGTGGCGAGGAGAAGCGAACGTGAACTTGCTGATTTTCTTTTTCTGGTCAAAACTGCCCCTTGTAGTTGACATAATTACACACCTACCCCCAAATAGAATACTAACTAGCAGTAGTACTAACTTGTAAGTATATAAAATTTTCCTTTTCTTTTCTGAAATTTTTATTAAAAAAATATACAGCAATGATTTAATATATATGTGATAAAAATATGATTAAAAAATATGTATACGAAAAATATAAAAAAAAATTTTAAAATGACTATCCAAACATTGCAGTTCACTTTCTTATTTTGACTGACATTATCTAAAATGTAATTCATACTATACAAAAAAAAAAAAATCAAAGTTCCTCGTATAAGGTAATAAATAGCAAAGCAAGAATAAACAAAATATGTAAACAAATGTAATGCTCAATAATAGATTTCAAGATAATTAAGTCAATTTTATATATTTTTTATTTTGACATCTAAAAATTGATTGCACTAAACATTGGAAATGGGATGGACATTTCATTTTGAAATGCATACAAGACATTTATATGAAATATTTTTTTTTCATGTCATTCTGACTAGAAAAAGCCATTTTGAGTGGAAAGACATATTTAGATGATTTATTTGAAATTATTACTATAATACTTTTTGTGAAATAAAAATAAGATTGAAATTTGTGAAATAAATTATTTTTTCTCAAATCATTTCAATCCAAACACACTCATTCATTTTGGACATTCTGACGTACCAAACAGGAGGTAGGTGTGTTTGAATTATTTCAAAATATTATTTCATTTTGGACATTTTCACGAACAAGTTTTTTAATAATCCTTTTTAGTTTATTAATTATTTTTTTATTTTATATATACATCATATAAAAAAAGTATTATAATAATTATTTTAAATAATTCTTTATAAATATTCTCAATTCGCAGTCTTTAGTAACCTGTTATCCCTCACCTTTCCTTCCTTTCTTTTACTTTCAATACTCTATGTTTGGATAGGCATGATTTCAAATAAAAAAATTTACTTCACAAATTTCAATCACTTTTTTATCTTTCCAATCACCTTTTTATCTCACATATATCACATCATAAAAAGTGTTACAATAATTATTTTAAATAAATCATCCAAATAAACTCTTATCCAAACAAACTCTATGATTTTTACCACGCTATCGCTATTGCTGTGAGGAACTTTTAAAAAATACAAGATTGTTCTTATTACTAGTGTTTTTTTTTTTTTAATCAGCAATGATTGAAGCTAAGAGAAAAGTCAACATCTATTACACTTTTGTGTTGAATTCATTTTCACGACCAAGAAAAGAAAGCAAATAAATGACGGAACCAAAAGGAAAGTCATTAAGAATGCCATAATGATCCAAACACGTGTCCGACTTCAGATCATACAATCTCATGCGAGGTCAATAGTTTCTTGCGCCCAAAAAAAAAAAAAACTAATTTAGGGGTTAGTTATCAACATAAGTAGATAACGTCCCACCAGCATTCAGCCAAAACTTTCGTCGTCCTCTCACGTGCCCGGCATGTGGATTGGAAGCATTTAGTCCTTCGCGCCTTGCGCGTTAGCTTCCCACCTGGCCTCGCTGCCAGTATCCCATGTGCTTCTGCTGCCCTCGCTGCCAGTATTCCTCGCTGCCCCGCTGCTTCTCTCTGCAGCTCCTCTCTCTCTTTCTTCTGTCATTCTTTTGCTTCCTCTTTTCTCTTTCTCTTTTTTTTTCCCCCCAACAACAATGATGCTTTGTCGCTTATCGCGCGTTAGCTTCCCATTAGGCCTTCTTCTAACCCTAAATCAAACCCAACCTCTGAGGCGCCGCTTCTCATCTTCTCCTCTTCCTTTTCTTCTCTATTTTCTCACCTCTTCTCCTCAGACTCTGTGTTCCTGTCCTCTCTCTCTCTCTCTCTCGTATTTATTCTTGATTCCACGACCTCTAAAAGTTTCAATAAAACCTCCAGACGAGTGAAGATCCGCACAACTCTAGATTAGTAGTTCATTTTGGAATCTCATTACTTGATTCGATGTTACCCCTGATTTTGTTTCTCTTAACTTTTGCCGGTGATTTCGCTTGTGAAGGCCACCAAATTTCTCATTTTCTCTAAAATCTGGCCTCAAACAACCCTTTCCATTCCAAACATGGGCGGGTCAACAGAACTTTGCCGCCTCTTTTAAAACAGAACTCTGCTAGGGTTCACTTTTTTTTTTTTTCTCCTTAGAACTCTGCCGCCTCAGAACTCCTCCTCTCTAGAACGTTTGATCTCTTCTTCTTTATTCTCTTTTATTTTTTCCCCTCTCCTGCATTTGTCTTCCTTTCTTTTCTATCTTGCCCTCATCTCTTCTTTCTTTCCTCCTATTGCAGGTGGGTCTCAGAATTTTCTTCAATTTCTATAGTGGTCTGCTCCGGCAAGCAATTAACCCGAAGCAACAATAATCTCTGAGCGCAACCACTCTTCATTCGATGAATACAAGTCAGATACTTGAAAGAGAGAGAGAGACAGGTATAGGGCGAGCACCTTAGTTTGGTGGAGGAAACGTGTAGAAATGGAATGAGGAGGCGAAGGGGAAGAGTTCGGCATGTTACAAACAAGAGATAGAGATCAACATCGAAAGCTTTCCAGGATACTTATTGACCATTGACAGGAACGTATATACAAACTGTGGATTCGAAAGAACCAACACCAACTATGTCAGATTTGATCTTCAGCAGCAAGGTGTTCGGACTAGAAAGCAACTACCCAACCCTTCACTTCCAATCAAGCATGTCTAGCAGCTCGAGGACCTCTTCCTCTGAGTTGGCAGCATCGCAGAAATCCAACTCAATGCCAAAAACATCGATGATCCCTTCATTATTGCCATTATCAATATGCTCGAATCTCATAAACAAAAGGGTAGCTAGGTGAAACATCAAGGTAGTCACTCAATTTCTGTATCTGTGCTTGTAGTGCGCAAGGATTCCAACAAAGTTGCATGCATAATTGACAAATCTGTGTTTGACTATATAGATCGGACAGCTATTATATTTCTGTTCAAACATGGAGTTTCAAATACTATGCATTTTTAGAGCTGCACACCCACCACAGGCTAGCCAACATCGGTAACTCCTTAAATTTGTCTATTTACTTTCTTTTCTATTTTTTTCTAATTTTTAACCAATCTGTCCTTTTTCTTTTGCCCTCTTTGACATGATCTGAATGAAAAGCTTCAAACCCTACAAGGATCAGAGTACCATACTCCCTCGTATCCGTTTTTCCCCTGAATTTTCTTGAAAATGAAAGAAAATAAAAAGCCATTCTTTTTTCCCTTTTATTTCCTAAGGTTTTTTTTCCTTAATTTGAACTAGGATCTACTTATTTTTATAAATTTGTATGGAACATCTGATCATCTTCATTTATTTCCCTTTATTTATTATTGGTATTGTTATAAATTGAGTGCTTAAACTTTACTATTGTAGGTTTGACTGTAACAATCCTAATAGCTATATTAGCAGAAACAGTAATCCCAGAAAGAAAGATAGATTATTTCAAGTAATGCCGCCATCGAACAACAGTTACTTTTTTGCCCTTTTTCCCCAAATCATTGGTTTTACGTGTTCAATTTATTTTTTATTTATAAAGTTTAAATTGCCAAATTATATTGAGGATATTTTTTGTAATTATGAATTTGTCTATAATACTGGAAGCTGGTAATGTGTTATTTCACTTTTTTTTTGGTTAGAAAAATATGAAAGTGATCTATTTGGAAAAGTCGGTATAGATTCTAATGAGGCCTTTGTGAAACTATGGTGGAACCTGTTTCCTTTTTTGTAAATTCTTAACTCTTAAGGTAAGTGTTAGGGTAATTGGTATAAAAGATATGATTTGAAAGCTATATATTTGTTAATGAATATTGATAAGATGAAACTTTTGAAGCAAGTTTAAGGGATAATCCTGAATCCTGTGAAATACTTTTCTGTCTTCTTGTAATCGTGTGTAATTTTTTAATTAAGAAACTAATGTGTTTGCAGGTTGAATGCTTAACTGGGTTTGAAGGTTTTTCTAAGAGTCTTTGTTGTAACTATTTGGGTTGATTTTCTGAGTTCTAATGTTTGGATTTTTGGTTGGTGGCAGTGATACTTGGGAGTGCATTTCATGAGAAAGAATCACCTAGATTTAGGTTTGTCTCTTTCTGTATTTCTTCTCTGTTTGAACAATCTATTCCAATTCTTCCTTATCCAGTTAGCTTCTTGTTTTATTTTTAATACCTGTGTTGCCTTTCTTTCTGTTGTAGATATGAAGTGATTGTAGAGTTGTAAATCACATTTTTGCCCTACAAACACTTATTCGATGGCTCCAAGCCAATTCAAGCACCACACTTAAGTTCAGACAGCCTAGAGGCAATATTAGTTTCTCCACAAATGGCTTTGCCATCATGTACCTTTATATTCTTTTTTACAGCATAAAAAATCCTAAACTTTAAAATGAATATGGTTATGCATGCATGTAGTCTTCTATTCCATGCTTCTACTTTATCTAGAATACCTTGAACATTATTTAACCTTCCTTCTGTTTATTTTTGTTATAGATCTTCCTCTGCTAGCATGCTTGTTTTCTTTATTTCACCAGTTTGGAGATGAAAAAATTTGGGAGAGATGCTCTTACTTCTGTGTGGTTTGTTTGCTTCTTTTTCCTGAGATTTTAGTAGCTTGGCTTTTCTAAAATACATTTGAAATTAATGTAGTGACTATAAGTCTTATAGGGGAGATCTTTCTTTGTTTCTCTTCCTGCAATAACTATTCAAATGTTTTAAGCATTGTTCTCCTTTGGCTGATATTTTTCCTTTTGTTTGTTTGAACTTATGATTTTTTATAAATTGTGAAGCATAATTTCTAATATGTTTGGTTCTGTTTCTCTATATTTTGAAGTTGTGGTTGGTTTGTCTAAGGGAAGTTGCGCATACCAAGGGTGAGGGCAACACCATTGTTGGCTTTGAACAAGTGCTGATGGAGCTTGCTCACATTCATGAGAAGATTAATTGCTTTACTTAGGTGGTAGCTTTGCTCTATCTTATGTTGTCATGAAAATCGCAATTAAGAACTTAAAAAGTGTTTGAGGTTGTTCGCTGCAACATATTGGTCTTGTCATTTTTCTCTTTTTAACCGGTACAGTTGATATCAGAATTGAATGATGTATTCTAGCTTGTGGGACTGACGAATCTACAGAGGATGAAAGTTTTGCAAATTGGCTCTGTTATCTTACATTTTGGAGTTTAATCTAGAGTTGAACAATGTTACATTAGGATTTTAGACAGTAGAATCTATATTCATTATGAGGCTTGATGTTTGATTTGATTTATGGATGTGGCTATGCTAATTATGTCCCATTTGCTAAGGTATTAAACATCTATTGTTAATTTCAAAAGTTTTTTCATGTACTGATTCAGAACAATTGTTCTTGATGTTTCTTGTTATTGAAAAGATACAAAACTTTTGTGAATTTAGATATTGTACTTTTACTTCTGCACGAGTTCAATTTTTTGCATATCTTTTAACTAGAAAGTAAAGAAAATTTAACCTGTATACTGCAGTCATGTGGCATAAATAGGCACCCTTAGTATCATTTTTGTTTAGTTTTTAAGCATTAGGATGCTGGTCTCATCATTCTATGTGGCAGGTTGGGGACAGTGGATCTGCATTTTAGGGGTTTGGTTATAGAGATATGAGGTTCTACGTACTGATAATGTTGAGTTTTGAAAAATGCAGATAAAAGTACTTTTAGGCAGTATTGGTAAATGCATCAAGTCAGAAATGCAGGACCATTGAGAACATCATCTTTTAATTGACCATGGCACCACCAAGATCAAGTTGATAGAGTTGACAACTTATTGCCTTTGCTTAAGTTTCACTTTTGACTCTAAATTCCAGTAAATTAAGGTCATGAATTTTGTATCTAAGAGGTATAATGGGTTAGTGGCATTCTTCACTATCGGTGCTTTGAGCATTTGCTTGCAATTAGTGATAAAGTGCTCCGGATAATGGTATTGAAAGATTGGAAGACAGCATTATTGTTGCATATTTGTCTTCTTATTGATTATTATTGAATTTATGCTAAGTTTTGTGCTAATTTTTGACCATGTACAAGAGATTTCTGTCCCTTGCTTGCTCACTGATAAGAGAGCTTTTGATATGGCTAGCCATCCAAACTATGGAGTCTCCGATTGTGGTTGCTTTGGAAAATTTAGAGACTTTGGTTGGGGTTGCTTTGCAGCTATGCAGACATGCCAGTGTCATGGTTTTTTCAATTGGAAAAGAAAATATAGATGTTTTAGAAAAGAATAGCACAAACAAGTATAATATTTGGATGATGGCCGAGATAAATATATTTTCAAATGGCAAATCCTTTTGTTTGATCCTGATTTAAGAAAACTATATGCTCGTGACAAAAGTTGCTTCAGGGATTAGGTTTTTATTCTCAAAACATACTATTTCATTATACTTTTGGTTTATAATGTTTGTATCAAATTCACAATGCTTTGCTACAGTGACTTGCATGAAGAACAAATATGTATATACTATAGATAAAGATGTACAGACATAGAAACATTGACGAGTGCTTTTATAATTTATGTTTAATTGGGCATGTACTGTTTGGTTGCTAGCGCGCATCTTGTGTATAAATTTCTTCCTGTATATATATTTCAACAAGTTATAATTTTGCATATCCTTGCATTCAACCTGAACAATTTAGCCTTCAGGTCATTTCAGGGCTCCTGCTGGTGCCATTGACTCTTGTGCTGACCATCGTTGTGTTTTGGCATGTTTATCTTATTCTGCAAAACAAGACCACAATAGAGGTTTGCATTGGTAGTGATAGTAATTTTTTTTCATCTATCTGGCATCTGATCAAGTCTGATAACCACTTCCTACCTTTTTTACCATACAGTACCATGAAGGTGTGAGAGCTATGTGGCTTGTTGAAAAAGGAGGTTATCTGTATTCACATCCATATGATCTTGGTGCTTATGAGAATATGATATCAGTAAGTTGTTTCTCTCTTCTCTTGTTCTTAGTGGCAAATAAGAGAGTCTAGAGTAGGCACTTCATTTGGCTGATCAAATTAGGCTCTTTGTGCATAGAAGTTTACTAACTAATACTGTAGATATCATGGTACAACATGCTCTCCGAGATATGGTCTTAGCTTTCTAGGCATTTATACGTGATTTACTTGACTTGCAGGTTTTAGGACCACATATCTTTTGCTGGGTATGTCCCACCTCAGAGCAGATTGGTTCTGGCCTTCGTTTTCGCGCGGGAGTTGATAAGTTAGCAGGGATATCATTTTAGACATGTAGAGCTTGGAGTTTCAATGATTTTGTACTGCTGGTAGTATTGGAGGCAAGGCAACAGGTCCTATATCATTCATTGATGATAATCAAATTCTGGTGTCCGCGTGCTTTCTTTTTGGAAATACAACCATTAAAAAAGAGTTTGTCTTGTGTAGCTCCTCCTTACATCCATGTTGTTGCAGAAGTAGTTCAAAGTTGACTGGGCTTCTGAAGCAGTCAGATGTAAAATAGGACCCTCCTTCTTATGACTTTTTTTTTTCCAAAAGTACAGTCCTCATGCAATCATGTACAAATGACAGAGTTCTAGGCTAACTCACAGCAACTTCAAGTAGAAGAGATAGGCCAAAAATTGTAACTTAAAGATGTTGTAATATTGTGATTCTCAGGAAATGTATGAACCATAATTGATTTAATTGATGATTTGATTGAATTTGTTGCAAAATTTATGTCCCGACTCTGAAATTGGAGAGTTTTATATTGGGCTTCCATTTTCCTTTGTTTGCTGAGCATCTGAAATGTGATTGATGAATGCATTATTACTAGGAGGCATAAACCGCGCGATGCGCATTGGAATGAATAAAAAACATGCCCAATTAAACATAGATTCATGAAATAAGAATGTTTGGTGGATAGTAACCTTTATAGTTTATCAAGAATAAATATTCTTTAGGAGACTTGAGATCCTTGGTCTCATATTTGTCTTCAGCTAGCATTTTACCTAGAAGAGATGATCGTTGGCAAGTATTCTTCTCAGGAGTTGTCATGGCCGCAACAACATAATAGTTTATCAAAAGGACCTTATCAAAAAGAGCAGCCTTTATGGGTGAAGCCAATGCATTTAACTACTTCCCAGTCCTACAATCTCCCAATTTAAGATAGTTTCTTGGCACTCCGCCAGCTTTTCTAAAGCTGCTACAATCTCCCAGTCCTGCAAATACAAAGCAACAAAGGAAATTCATAAATCACGATATTTTCCAGTTTATTAGTAGGAGAGAAACGACTGTGCGTAAAGAAATATGCCACCATCAATGAATTATGGAAAGATCTGAAAACAATTCAACAATCTTAGAACTCTTTGCGTCAGCGAGATATTCTTTTATATTTCACAATTTTAGAACTCTTTTATTGTTATCCAATTCAACTAAAGAGCAATTCAAAAACTGTACCCATATCATTTTAATTTCATTGTTCAACTCGGTTAACTCATAGTCAACTAATATGAGAATTCAATCACTTTTTTTTCAAGCTACCATAATCACAATTGGATCAATATTGCTTTATATAATGAAAATGCCTTCAAATTTAGCTTAGTATTTCCCTTTTTGTCCTGTGAAGCATAATATATACTTGTGGTCACACTCTATGTTTCTACACTTCATGAAAAATAGTAAACTTGATTTTCATGTTAAACAAGAAATGGAGTGAGATAAAAGAAGAATTTCCCAAGCTCCTACAAAAGTAGTTCTATATCTCGACAGTACTTTTTCTCTCTTATGACGTACGAGTACGATATATTCAAATCATCACATCCTACGCTTCTGCACTTCATGAAAAATATTGAAGTTTATTCTCATGCTAAACGAGTAATAAATATTAACTAAAAAAGTATTAACTTTAAATCTTAGCAGTACCTTTCTATAAATCTAAATAAATATTCGTACTATTTTTGTGAAATGATTTTGCCGTCTACTTATTCATGTATATTTATGCTTAGCTGTGTACACAAATTATCAACCAACAAACATTTTTGTTCCATGAATCCACATGCTTAAAGGGGCATATTTTATATTTATCCCAACGCGCAACCCGCGTTTTATGCCTCCTAGTTTAAAGAATGTATATAAACTGGGAAGAGGGTGCAAAGCATGGTCGTCCTCCACGTCTTCCTCACGTGCGGGTTGTGAGAGTTGCGCATGACCTGGAATCTTTTTTTTTTTTTTTTTGTATTTATACTTGTTCTTTCTTTTGTCCTATTCTTTCTATTGTTGTATGGATTCAGCGTCATGCGTCTCTTGTCCTTGGAACCAAAAAAGGCGTCAAACGTTCTCTGTCCTTGGAACCCAGCAGCAATTATTACATCTTTACTAAGAGCCTCATGGAAAGGCAGAATGCTTTCTATCGAGCTGTTAAAAGCAGGGAAGTGATGATTTGCTTCCTATTAAAAGCAGATAATAGAGCTTGAATGAATTACCAAAACTTGCCGCCCCTGTACAGCTTTTTGGTATTTTTGTCTTGGTTTATATTGTAGTGTGATAAATAGGAAATTGCTTGACAACTTTTGCCCAAATTATAGAATATGTCAACAACCCATGCACGAAATTGCTTGATAACTTTTGCCCAAGCTATAGAATATGTCAATAGCCCATGTAATTTTACTAATAATATTATATCATATTACTGCAGTTCTGTGATTTATTAATTACAATCGTATATTATATTAAATTACTGCAGGAAATTGTATTTAAGTGGAATAATAGCACTTGACAATAATGTACATGTTTTGGCTATTTTTGTCTTACCTTTACTTTATAGTGTGATAGATAAGAAATTGGTAAATAATTTTTGTTTAGTGCATGAGACATGGCAATGATCCATGTAATTATGCTAATTGTGTTATGTTAAATACCGCTATTCTGCGATTTATTGGTTAAATAAGAATGTCTTATAGGAACATGATTTTTAGTGAATTACTAACACTGGCCGACAGTATACATCTCTTCATGTGCATGGACAGTCATATATTCACTGGCTACACTAGCTTCTGACGCTTTAATGGTTCCTCGAATTTGTAACGCATAGGTAGGCACTGCACGCTTGTGAGGCTTCTCTTCGTAGCTTTTCAAGAAGTTTCTCCACCCGGCTTTTCATGAACGGAAATGGAAAGTAGCTTTCCATTCAGCTCCCATGCAGCTCATTCTGTACCAGTTGCTCAGCCTCCCCCGGTTTTCTTTTTTCTGGCTCTTGGCATCAGCATTGGTATACTCCTTGTTGCCATGAGGTGGAAGAGGTGTTCCTCCTGTTTCTACTTTAGACTTCTTTTAATCAAATTATATTTCTTGTTTCTTGGCTATCTATCCAGGTTCTTTTAGACTAGATGTTTGCTCCTTTTTCCTTGGTTTCGCACTGTTGCTGCACTAGATGTGTTGCTTCCCTTTCTTACATGCAGATTGTATGTGCATCTCCTGGAGTTGTAGCCACTTTCTACTCTTCGAACTATGTGACTTTTATTGTTTAACCTCCTTTCTCATTCATTCTTTTTGGTAAATTTGTTTAGCCTCTTCTGTTTTTATTTTGCAAGTTTTTCTACTTTTTCTGCTATCATTTGCTATTCCTTTCTTGTTGGTCTTGTTTCTGTTAGTTTGCTTGGATAGTTTGTCTACTATAGATGTTATGTGGTATGAAAGTAGCCATATATATCACCTTCATGTCTTGCCGCTGTTCTGGCGTTTTTTGGCTGATAGCTAACTTGTGTTTGGGAGTGTGTGAATTATTTACTTCATTGGTGCCAGCTTAATGGATAGAAATACCAAGCATCGCAAGCGTTATGCAAAAATGCCACAGGAAAAGAAGGATAATCTCTGGGACGTCTTTGCTGCTGAGCATCAACTGGAACTGGATGAAATTTTAGCTTTCCTTCCTGAATCAGCTTACACCTACAATGTTCTAATTTTTTATGAGTATGGTGTCGAAAAGCAGTTCTCGTGGTATCATAGTTTCCATGTGTACTCCATCATGAAAAATGAGTGAATTTAGATCTATCAAAATAAGAAATTTCCCTGCGCCATGTTTCTTTTTTCAGCGTTTAGTATAAGGACTATTTTTGCTCATGTATTATTCCATCCTCCATAACTCCTTTTTGTTTACTAGCTTAAACTTAACAAATGAAAAACCCTCCTACCGAAACATTTCGTTTTTCTAGCCTCTATGCCTCTGCACTCACTGCTAAAAAACAACCAGAGTGCATATCACAGGCTATAGGATAAGAAAACGAAAATGTATTGGATTATGTCATTTTTCCTTACCACGGTGATTTGGAACTTGCATTGTAATGTTTTTATTAATTATTGGCTCTCTCTCACATGCACACACAAAACTGGAAAATTAAAGGGTACTGTGAAAGCTTTGGTGTCCTTTTGATAATTTACTTCTTGCCTAGGTTGCTATTTAGTTGTGTTTCTTGCATTTATGATTCTTTGCCTTGTTCTTTTTCCTTCTGTTGCAATTGGGTATAGGATGTCAGGATGCTTATACTGCATTCTTTGGGTCAATATGTAGCAGCTTTTGCAATTAAGTGGATGATGCTTTAGAGTTTCTTCTCCCTGTAGACTCACTATGGTGTCTTTGTTTTTGGGGAAGAAGAAAAATTTGTATCAATCCAACTGAAACTGAATGCATTACATTGGAATAGCATTAACTTCTCATGTGGACATTTTAAAGTATAGCATATTCATTTTCTTTGCATACTTAGTGTACACCAGGAAAGCAAGGAATTTTAAATGTTCTGACTATCTCTTTAAATATAAAATAACCTATAGAATTAAAAAAAATTCCAACCAAGCTCAATAAGTTCTCTGTACAACAAATCTCTTCTAAAATAAATATTTACTGTACTTTCAACCTGGGCATGCCTATAACTTACCACCGTGCGCGAGCACGGTGAACATCTCCTAGTCCAAATAACCCACCCATGAGGGGCTAAAAGTTTGTCCAAACAAGCGCGTCTAACATTAACGGCGGCGTTGAGGCTTCTTAGTTAGCAGGACAACGTCAATTGTACACAAACCTATTGTACACATCCTAGATGCAACGCATCTAAAATTAAGTTCCGAGTTCTTTTTCAACAAAAAAAAAAAAAAAATTAAGTTCCAAGTTGCAAAGTGAAATAGGCAATGGCCGCTTTCAGACCAACAAACACATAAAGGTTATGTTTGGATTGCATTTTTCGTCATTTTTCATGAAAAAATTATTGTAGCGATTTGATATATGTGAAGGAAAAAGGTGATAGGGAAATGTGATCACGGAAAACGACAATATTTTCCGACGAAGAAAACAAACAATCCAAGCATGGCCTAAGTTTTTGACACCAGTTCTGAAGCCATAATTGTCTAAATAAACTGATTTGCATCAGCTGCTTTACTAGATAAAATCCCAAGCCACGCTTAGGTACCATTCTTTGAACGAATGCTTCCAATTATCCCCCTTATCATTTTGCCCAAAAATAGGACCATCAAAACTAAATCCTAATATTCAACCAAAAAGAAACCATAGCTGGCCAAGAAGAGTATACGAACTACAATTTAAGTATAAACTAAAATTTGCTTAATAAATTTTTATTCAAACTCAGGCAAAATAATAATAATAATATGTATATGTATATGTGTGTGCGCGCGTATAGTTGTAACCTACGGCATTA